AAGATATGTATTGGTTGCCATCATTTTGATTGCTGTTTGTGTTCTCTAATTTTGTGTTTCCTAAATTATATCTTTATTTTCTTTTGTCACCCCTGGGGTATAATTTTTTTCTCTCTCTGCTCTCTTATTGCTTCAAGTATTATTTGAAGGGCTGGTTTTGTGGACATGTATTCTTTCAGGCTATTTGTGTCTTTCAGGCTAGATGTTTTTGCTGGGAAAAGTATTCTAGGCTGGCATCTATTGTCATGTAGAACTGGAAGTACCTTGGTCCAGACTCTTCTGGCTTTCATAGTTTGCATTGATAAGTCATCTGTAATTCTAATGGGTTTTCCTCTGTATGTGACTTGTTTTCCTTTTGCTGCTTTCAGTATTCTCTTTGTTCTGTACATTTAGTGTTTTTATTATATGTTGTGGGGAGTTTCTTTTCTGATCCTATTTGGTGTTCTATGTGCTTCCTATATTTGTATGGGGATGTCTTTCCTTAATTTTGGGAAATTCTCTTCTTCAATCCTGTTTAAGATCTGGTCAACACCATTAACCTGAAATTCTTCTCCTTCCTCTATTCCTATAACCCATAGATTTGGTCTTTTCATGGTGTCCCACATTTCCTGCATATTTCATTCCTATGTTTTTTAAAACTTCTTTCATAATCTTTGCCTGAGCAATCCAATTCTTCAACTTTATCCTCCAGTGTTGATATTCTGTTTTCTATTTCATTCGTTCTAGCAGTGAGGCTTTCCCATTGTTTCAAGTTGGCTTACTGAGTTTTGCAGTTCCTTCTTCATTTCTGCCTGAGTTTTCTTCAATGTTTCTCTTTTGCAAATTCATTCAGAAGTTTATCTTCTTTTAGTTGTTTGTTCATGTGTTCTTTAAATTCGTTGAATTCCTTGATCATGTTTATGATTGTTCTTTTAAATTCAGTGTCCTGGGTTATCTCCAGGGGGTTTTCCTTGTAGAACAGGATTTGTGGAGTTTGGTGGGGACATAGTGTTTTGGCTTTCCATTTTATTATTCTTTCATTGTGATTTTGGCATGTGAATTTCTTTTGTTTATGATTCTGATATGAGAATTAAGCTGAAGTATGCTTCTGTTTTTATTATTGGGGTGCCTAGATCCTTTCCTTTTTTTATTTAAAACCTTTTTTATTTTATGTGTATGAGTGTATTGCCTGCATGTATGAGTGCACCCATGTCATGCAATGCCACAGAGGTCAGAAGAGGGTGTCAGACCCCCTGGAACTGGAGTTAAGGATGGTTTGTAGCTGCCATGTGGGTGCTGGGACTTGAACCTGGGTCCTCTGCAAGAGCAGTCAGTGCTCTTAACCGCTGAGCCATCTCTCCAGCCCCTAGATCCTTTCTTTATTGGTTATGTAAAGCTGGTTGGTACAGGGTTCAGGTTCTCTTAGGTTTAATTTGGAGGGAACTGATGGCTTCAGATCAGCTATTCAGGAGTACCCACAGAAGCCCAATTCAGGTTCCAGTCAGGTATATGCCAACCCCTCCTCCCTTGGTCCTATCCTGAGGAATGATTCCACCAAAATGCACTCTGAGAATTCAATGAGTGTATTTGGCTTATATACAGAGGAATGGGTGAAGGTTTACTTACAGGAATATAGGTGCTCCCTACCTAAGGCCACATGCAAGTGTTCACTCAAGCATGGATGATGGCTTCCCCATAGCCTCACAAAATGGTGAGAGACCCTCCCCCTAGTCTTCCCCAGCCCATATACTCTAGCTCCCAGGCCACATGCAATTATGGCCCAATTGCTTATTATGGGTTGAGAGCTGTGGCTGGACTCTCAGGCCAGGGTGCTATGACTCTCCCTGTCCCACCCTTCCAGGGTGTGAACAGTCAACAGGCCCAGCAACTGAGCTCAGAACATGGCACCTATCTGTTGGACGACAGTCCTTATATAATATGCCTGCAGGTATGTACCAGTGTTGTGCAATGTCCACAGCAGCCAGAAGAGGGCGTTGGAGTCTCTGGAACTGGAGTTACTATTGATGGTTGATAGTGACTATGTGGGTGCTGAGAACCGAATCTGGGTCCTTTACAAGAATAGCCAGTGCTCTTAACAAGCAGTTATGAACTGCTGGACATGGGTGCTGGGAACAAAACTTGGGTTCTTTGGAAGACCACCAAGAGCTCTTAATCCTATATAAACCAGTCTGGCTTGGCCTCAATCTCATAGACTTCTACCTCCCACACCCACTTTGTTTTTATTTTAATCAGGTTAAACACATTTTACTTTGTGTGTGTACACATGCACCTGTGTAAATTCATGTGTACCACTTGTGTGCAGATGCCCATGGAGGCCAGAAGAGGGTGCTGGATCCCTGAGAACTGGAGTTACAGCCAACTGTGGGTTAGAGGATGTGGGTGCTGGAAACTGAACCTGGATCCCCTGCAGGAGTACTAAGTGTTCTTAAGTGCTGAGGCATATCTCCAGCTCCATCAGTTTTTTTTTTTTACCCCCACCCCCAGGGGGCTGGAGAGATGGCTCAGAGGTTAAGAACACTGGCTGTTCTTGCAGAAGACCACGGTTTGAATCCCAGCATCCACATGGCAGCTAACAACTGTTCGTAACTCCAGTTCCAGGGGATCTAACAGCCTCTCCTGTCCTCCGTGGGCACTGCATGGCATGGGTGCACTTACCTACATGCAGGCAATACACACATACACATAAAAGAAAAATAATATTTTAAAATAAAAATAAACATTTCCCATGTAAATAAAAAAAAAAAAAAAACTAAGTATGAAGGACACACAAGTAAAAAGTCCTACTATGGACTAGGATGTGGTTCAGTGGTAGAACACATGCCTTGGATTCCATTCCAGCACCACAAAACAGAACAAAACAAAAGCTAGACAGTGGTGCATAATCCCAGCACTTGGAGGGTGAGGCAGGAAGATCAATTCAAAGTTCTTTTCACCTACATAGTATGAGGTCAGTCTGGGTTACGTGAGACCCTGTCTTGCTCCCGCTCTCACACACAGAAAACAAAAATACTCCCAACAGAATAAAATGAAATGCCATTCAATCTCAATCTTGTATCCCAGAGCTGGAGACATGGCTCAGCAGTTAGGAGCACTGGCTGCTCTTGCAGCGGACCCAAGTTCCATTCTCAGCACCCACATGGTGGCTAATTACCATCTGTAATTCCAGTTCCAGGGAATACAACACCCTCTTTTAATCTCTGTGGGCAATGCATGACAGGGGTGCACCTACTTACATGCAGGCAATATATTCATATGTATAAACAAACGAGGATCTTGTTTTCTTTCTATATTTATGGTTTCATCTCTTTTATACTTAAATGTTCAATTACTTGGAACTTTAGAATAAAAAAAGAATATAATCCAATTTGATGTTTACAAGGTGGTAACCCATTTCCAAGGTTTTGTTGAAAAGCTGGTTCTCAGATGGTAGCAATGCTTCTTACCACCCCAATTCCTGTTTGTTGTATTGATGGACTATTTGGGACCTATAGTCCCTTCATGAGTCAGTAGCATGCTGTTTTAATCACACTATGCCATAAGTCTTCAAACAATTTGTATTATTTTTGCATATTTGCTCTTCTATTTTCACTTTAGAATGTTTAATTTTTTTTTTTTTTCCATTTAGGGGCTGGAGAGATGGCTTAGTGGTTAAGAGCAATTGCTTCTCTTGCAGATGACCCAGATTCAGTTCCCAGTACTCACACGGTAGCTCACAACTATCTGTAACTCTAGTTCCAGGGGATATGAGGTCCTCTTCTGGCCTCTGCGGGCACTGCATGCATGTGGTGCACATATATACATACAAGTTAAACACTCATACATATAAATCTTTAAAAATTTACATTTTTGTGTGTGTGCATGTGTATAGGCACATGTGTGCCATGGTACACTTGTGGATGTCAGAGGAAAATCTGCAGGAGTCAGTTTTCTCTATCAGGTGGGTTCTGGGGATCCAATTCAGGTTATCAGGCTTGGGTGTTCAGTGACCTTACCCACTGAACTATCTTGCTTATCTGTGTTTTAAAACAGTGAGGGAAGATTCACTTTTTTTCTTGTTTTTGAGTGCTAGGAATGAACCAGGAGTTTTGCCAGCAAAGCCTTGGGGCAAGCACTCTACGATGAGCTACATGCTCAGTCACTATTTTTACTTTGAGACATCTCATTAAGTTGCTCGGGCTGACCTTGAACTCACTCTGTAGCCCAAGCAGACCTTGAACTTATGATGTTTCTGCCTCAGCCTCCTGAGTAGGCCCAGGCCACTAGGCCAGGCTGAGGAGTCTCATCTTTGAATACTACAGAGAAAGGGAGATTGCTACACCTTTCACTTGGAGTTCTTATGAGAACTTCACTCATCACTAGGTATTTTATCTTTTTGATGATGCTATTGAAAACATGATCTTCCATCCTTGTCTGCACTGTAGGAAGGCTACAAACACTCTTCTGCTAATTTGTATCATAGCTTTTCAATAGTGTCTTTTAGATTTTCTGGACAAACAATTATCTAAAATGCAAATACTGTCCCTTCCCAATGTTGCAGCTTTCTTGTCTAAGTGCCTTTTTGTTTTCCATTATTTCCTCTGTTGTTTTACCACATTAGCCTTTAGCTCTGACAAGGCACCGAACAATGCTGGTAAATGAGAGGCTGGACAGAAACAACTAGAATGAAAGGTTTTGACATCCTGCTTCACCAGTAGCTTGTGGCAGAGACTGGGAAGGAACAGTCACTTGAGGGTGACAGGTATTTTCCTGCCCTGATTTCTCTTTGTCTGATGTACCAGCAATTAATTATTATTATTACTTCTTGTGGTTTTTTTTTTTTTTTTTTTTTTTTGAGACGGGTTTCACTATGTAGCTCTGGTGGCCTAGAACTCACAAAGATCTGCTTGCCTCTGTCTTCCAAGTGCCGACGTTAAAGATGTGTGCCTCCAGTACTAAAACTGCTGAAAAGTTATGAGGAATGTGTAGTTTGCATACTGAAAGTTTATTAAAGTAATTTTAAGGCCAATTAAACTAGTTTTATTCAAAGTAAGTCTACATTAAATTACAATATTAACAATTTGTAGACACAATGAACTTAAAATATAAGAAGTAGAAATAGAAATCTATTTGGTCTTTCAGAGACCACATATCATAGAACTCATAAATGAAAATTTACAAATATAGAAATGATACTTAAGGAGGAAGGATTTTAATCGGGAACCCAAAGATGTCATATTTTTAACATGCATGTTTCAAAAAGGGAGAATCCTTTAATAATTTAGCATAAAATTGAGTTATATAAACTTGGTATATTCCAGAAAATATTGCTTTAAACACTTATACATGATCAAAATTCCTTTGGTAGCTTTTAATCAAAATGAAACATGCTACTTTGTAAAATATAAAGTACTTTTTGAATGTTGTTGCAAAAGTGTGTCTGTCATCACCATACCAACATCACTACAGAGCCTTGTTCTCATTGCTCAACCCCACGTGTGAATACACAGTACATCACCAGGCACCAACAAATCCTTAGCCTTTTCACAAAAATAATCGAGCTTTATACAGTGCCAGGGCGGAGATCAAAGATGGTCCCTGTGCAAGACTGTAAAACCAAACCCAACTTTATTATGGTAATCACACAAACTGCAACTGAAACAGTCAAACATCAATCACCTCAAGGCCCAAACCAGGACTGCCACACTCAAATCAGCATGGAAACCTAAACACGAAATCCCCAATCCTCTAAACACAAGCGACAAGAAGCCTGGCTGGACTGCACTGCCTGCTGATGGGACTCTGCATCTCGTGGCAGACATGAAATGATGTCCTCCTGGCACATCAGGAACCTCACTTAGAAACCTGATTTATAGAAACCAAAGTTTGGAACTCTCTGAAAACATACAAAACAGAGGCCAATGCTTAGAGAATGCAGAGCTGAGTGGCAGTTTGGACACTGACCTTTTCTTCCCAGTGCCCACCAGCCCAGGGCTCCCACTCTGAGCACTCGTCTGGGAGAGAATGCAGCATCTAGGGTATTTCCGCTGTGCCCCACAATCTCTCACATACACACACACACACACACACACACGCGCACACACACACACACACACTCCAATTAAGCCTGTGGTTTTCTGACACAGGAACAAGAACTTGTGAAGGAACTTCTCAACTAATATTGGTGTGTCCAATCTCAAAGAGAGTAACAGAAACAATTTAAATGCCTAAAAGAACTAGGGGAAAAAAGTGGAGGGAAAAAGATGTGCATTATCTAAAAGTCCTTGCGCCCTGGGAAGGATGATCCAAGAACCATCTCCTCTCCTTCGAATCCAAGTGTCCACAGTGGGGGCAGCTGTAGGACCTGGTAACAGCACAGCAGCTTTCACGCTTCGCAGGTGCATTCTAGTGTTTGTTTCACAGGGAGACGACAGTCTGCTGGCATGTCACGCCACATAGTGGTACTGATTTGGACTGTCTTTGTCTCGTTCCATATAGTCTCTGTCTATAAGTGATTCAATTCTCTTTTTCAAATCTCCAGGCTAGGGGGGAAAAAAAGCCAACTTCTAATTATAGTGCACTCAACTTACAAACATAAAAATATGTGACATCTTGTAACTATCTAAATACACAAATCTGCAATAGACATATTTATATATAAATCTCTGATAATTACAAAATGATCATGGTGGCATCATCTCCTGAACAAGTGTTTGTACCGAGATGGCTCATCATACATGAGGCATCTACATGGTATAACCACAAATTCTGAGTGTTCTTCTGCTAAAAGTTATTACAAAAGTATTTTTGTTGTCATCATACTAACAACATGATGGAGCTTTGCTCTCATTACTCAACCCCACAATGTGGATACAAATCAGGTAACCAGGCACAAACAAACCCTTTAATTTAGGCTTTGTACATAGTACCATGGGAAGACAATGAGCCCTGGCCCTGTGCATGACTAGAAACACAGCTGAGTTCACAGCCTTAGACTATGACTGTCCATCCTTCTACTGCATTAGGCAGCCAATCAGCACTGATGAACAAAGGCCCTCTGCTGAGAGGTGGTTTCATTTTCCAATCAGCAAACCTTCCTAGTCAGTGACAGGCCATATATTTTTATAAGACTTGGCTGAAAATGCAATTATTTATAAAAGCAGGCCAGCGAGGCTTTGCCCAGATGAACATTACACTCTTTAATTGCTGGGTCTCTTCATTTGCAAAGGCATAAACAAATGCATTGGTTTGTGGGTGGGGGGTAGGTGGGGGTGGGGGACTCATAGGCAGCATTGCTTGAGCTGTGCACACATCACCAAGGAGGGCACTGGCTCCACCTGTCCTTGAGATACTTTAGTCCTTCTCAGTGTAATTCCCTGGTAAAGAGGCTCAACCCAGGCATCTTGGAATCAGGGATTTCCAGCTGTTGAAAGGTCAGAGGTCCTGACCTTTCGATACATTTGAGACTGTATCTTATCATGTATTTTTCCTTTTTCTTTAAAAAAAATATTCATTATTTTTATTTTTTTGTGTATGAGTGCATTGCCTGCATATATGTAAGTGCATCCATGTTGTACAATGCCTGTGGTGGTCAAAAGAGGGCTTTGGATCCCCTGGAAGTGGAACTACAGACAATTGTTAGCTGCCATGTAAGTGCTGGGATTTGAACCTAGAGCCTCTGCAAGAGGAGCCAGTGCTCATAAGCACCGAGCCATCTCCCCAGTCCCTACCATATGTTTTCTCACTGCTTCCCTATCTTATTATCCTGCACTCAACATGTTGCAGAATTGCAGAGCTTAGTTCTACAGCAAGAAACAGAGGGACAAGCCTGAGGCTGACCTACCTACCAGCAGTGCTGTCATTAGGGTCTGTGGGGTGGCCTTAAGTGCCACAGTTAGAGAAAAACATGTGTCCTGACTTCTTTGTGGCCCTCTGTTCTCTGAAATACAAGTGTGACTTGTGCTTTGGGGAGCTGTGACTCTGGTTTCTGTGATGGTGATAGAGAGTATCTGTAGTATGCTGCTGTCTCTGCTCACAAAATTATACCCGAGGTCCCCTAAGGTCAGTCAATGCTAGGATACCCAGAGTCCAACACACTCTATGACTGAGCAAAACACCCAATATCCAACTGTCCTGACAGCACTTACCTTCACTGGAAATTTCAGCTGATTGTACAATTCAGAAACAAGAAGATTATGACCAAGAGTCTTCCTCATCTTCATTATTCTGACTATAGCAGCATCAATCTGGTACTGTCTATCCTGGAACACTCTCTCTGTGGTGCTAACTTGTTCCTCAACCTGTATACAAAAAAGAAAGACAAAAGATGTGTAAAGATGCTTCAGTATTGCTTTGTGTTGATGAGAAACTTGGTTTTGATGCAGACTAAGGCCAGGCTTTGGACAAGTTCTTTGTTACATTTTTATTTGTTCTACGAAAGCTCAGCTTCGCACAAGTGCAAAACTCTAAAACTAAAATTTGGAAATATAATTTTATAAAAGTTGTATTTTCCTGCCAGGCATGGTGGCGCACGCCACCCATCACTTGGGAGACACTTGGGAGGCAGAGGCAGGCGGATCTTTGTGAGTTTGAGGCCAGCCTGGTCTACATAGTGAGTTCCAGGACAGCTGGGGCTACAGGAGACCCTTTCTCAAAAAGACAAAAAAAAAAGTTGTATTTTCCTTAAAAGAATGCTGACACTGGAAAGTTGTCTAGCAGCAGAGAACTTTAAAGAAGTATCTCAAACTTTCTTTGCCTAACCTCGTACGTGCTGGGAATATAGGCAGGAGTCACCATGCCTGCCAGTATGTTTATGGGAGAACTAAAGCATGTGAAATTATTCTGAAGTTCAATAGGAGAACTAAGTTATAGGAATGGGTACATTAAAAAAAACTGACACTGGGGGCTGGAGACCTGGCTTAGCAGTTAAGAGGACTGGCTGCTCTTGTAGAGGTTCTACTCTGAAATTACACTTCTGGGTTTTGCACTCTAACCTCAAAATTCCTAGCAGTAAAATGCTATACGCATTTGCACTAAGTCCTTAGCTGACAGGCTAAATTGTCTACTAAGGATATTCCTGGGGCTGGAGAGGTGGCTCAGGAAATAAGAGCACTTGCTGTTCTTCTAGAGGACCTGGGTTTGACTTCCAGCGCCCACATAGTGGCTCTGTTGTCCTCTTCTGGCTTCCTTGGGCACTATACACACATATCAATAAACATACTGGCAATCAAAACACTTGTACAATTAAAAATAAATCATTTAAAAAAAAATTATTACTTCAAAGGAGTTGAAAATATGCCACAGAGAAACGTGCTACACCTTAATTCCTGATTGCCAAGACACGGAAGTAGCCAGGACATCTTTCAGTGGGTGGTGTAAATTGTCAGACAGTGTCATTCAAGGATAAGAAGGAATGAGCATCAGGGCACGAGGAGACATGGAAGAACCTTAAACTTAGCAGTGTTGCTGAGTGAAAGAAAGTTCTGCTGTACGATCTTACTGTGCGACAGTCTGGAGAAAGCAAAGCAATGGAAAGGTCACTGCTGGCTGGGATTCAGAAGTTGTGGTCAGAATTGATTGGGCTGAGGCCTCTGAGGTTAGTGAAACCACTCTGTGATGCTGTGTTGGAGGACGGGTCATCGCACATCCAAACCCACTGAGTGTATACCACCAGCAGCAAACTTGCCCAAAACTATGGACTCTGGTAGGCATGATTCATCAGTGCAGGTCTGCTGCTTTGTTTGGGGAGGCTGGTAGGAGCATAAAGGAGGTCTCTATACTTGTTTCTCAATATTGCTATGCATTTAAACCACTTGAAGACAGTTTAAAAAAAAACAACAACATACGCACAGACCCAAGTGTGGTGGCACATGTCTTTAATCCCAGTACTCAGGAAGCAGAGGCAGGCAGATTTGAGTTTGAAGTCGGCCTGGTCTACATAGCAAGTTCCAGACTAGCTGGGCTACATTGAGACCCTACCTCAAAAAGACCAAAACGGGCTGGAGAGATGGCTCAGTGGTTAAGAGCACTGACTGCTCTTGTAGAGGACCGGGTTCGATTCCCAGCACCCACATGGCGGCTACGAACAGTCCTTAACTCCAGTTCCAGAGGAATCCGAAGCCTTCTTCTGACCTCCGCAGCATTGCATGACACAGGTGCACTCACATACATGCAGGCAATAAGCTCATACACATAAAAATAATAAATAAAATATTAAAAAAAGGACCAAAACAACAACAAAAAAGCCCAAAATATTCACACATACAAAATAAAAATAAATTCAACAACAATAAAAAAATATAAACTGCCAGTTTCTCCACATTCATTCCTATACTGGAGACTGTAAAACTTAAAAAAGTTATCACACTGTTATTTTGTATATTTGTTGTGTGTGAACACAAGTGCCATGGTATGCATATGGAGGTCAGAGGACAACTTTTGGAAGTTGGTTCTCTCCTTCTACCATATGGGTTCCAGGGATTGAACTCAGGTCATCAGGCTTGGTGCTATGTTCCTTTATCTGCTGAGCCATTTTGTCAGCCCTATAAAACTTAGTATTTCACAAATTGACATGATATATCGAGTATTATTATTATTATTACTATTTGTGGTACTGGAGATTGAAGCAGGGCCTGGCATATACTAGGTAAGCCCTCAATCATTGAGCCACATCCCCAGCCTAGATTACCATTCTTTTTTTTTTGGTCTTTTTGAGACAGGGTTTCCTTGTAGCCGCAGCTGGCCTGGATTCCCTAAGGAGACCAGGCTGGCCTCAAACTCAGAGATCCACCTGCCTCTGCCTCTGCCTCCCAAGTGCTGGGATTAAAGGCGTGTGCCACCATGCCCAGCTTAGATTACCATTCCAATTCAAAGAATTATTGATAAGAGTGAACATTTTTACATTGTATTTATTGAGTAATCTGAACATATTTTCTGTCTAGCACATTGAAGGCCTCAGGGTGACACAATCATTGTCTGTGCGGGAGGGAAAATCTGTGGCATCATTACCCAATGTAATTAAAGTTGTCCTGCCACCTCTTTACTTCATAAGAACCCTCTCCATACAGCCACCTATGCTAGGCATTTACAGGGATGAGGAGGCTATCAGGACCTGTGTGTGTTGGCTTCAGGGTATATAGGATGCAGCATCAGAAGGCCAACAGCTGTGGTCTTAATCCTGTCTAGATTTAAAAACTGAGGGTCTGCTCCTTGCTGTAGTTGCTGAAGGTTCTGCATGCAAACTCTACCTCAAGGCCTACCTAGGATTAGATGAAATGAAGTGTATTGGGCAAAGTGCATGCCAGGCAAAGTAGAGAATGGGTACTGGTTCTGGGAAGTCCACTTGCTTCCTGTGCTATCAGATTTGATACAGGAAGATAGGACTGTGCATACCAGTTGTGAACAGGAATAGCTATTAAACAGATCTCCTTTGATTTTTCACACCTACTGAGAATTTAAACTAATGAAAGATACTGTTCTAACACTGTACATTTACCTTAGATTCAGAAATATGTTCTGGCCTCTAAAAGTGACATTATTAGAAAAGCTAAGGATTGTTTGCTGAGCCCCCATAAGTAAAAAGAGAAGCTGGGACGTACGGTTTCCTTCATCTGGATTTGATTGATCTTTATTCTGAACAACTTGTGTTTGAATTCTCCATTGAAAATGAACTTGTCTCCATCTTCTACCTCTTTTCCTTTGGGACTTTTAATCAAAACCCTTGCTTTACCACAGGCCAGGGATTGCAGTGTTCTTCTCAGCTCACTGTCCTCTGAGGGAAGCAAAGGAGGCAGAGGTTGTCATGAAATGAAACATGTTAAGAGCTCAACAATAGAAGAAACCATGCCATTACATGTGACTAGCAAGCTGGGAATAGTGGTGCATGCCTTTGATCCAAGCACTTGGGAGGCAGAGGCAGGTGGCTCTCTGAGATATAAAGGCCAGCCTGGTCTACATAGCAAGTTCCAGGTCAGCTGGGGCTACAGGGAGACCCTATCTCAAAAAAATTAACACCCCAAAAAAAACAAACACGTGACTGGCAGATATTGAGTCTATACTTGCTCTGAATTTTTTTTTTTTTTTCCAGTTCTGGGGAAGGAACCCAGGGTCTTGTGCATACCAGGCAAGCATTTTCTTTTTGACCCCCAAGCCTATACATTCTTAAATGAGCACATGCTTTAAAATGATCATGAGGGCCAAACATGGTGGTTCAAGCCTTTAATCCCAGCACTTGGGGTGGGGGTGGGGCAGGGGTGGGGAAGAAATACTTCCAGCACAGCCAGGGGGAGTCTTCCTACCTATGCCTGTGGCCATTTTTATTTCTTCAAAGCTGAATCCATCCCCCTCGTTGAACATGAGCAGCACCAACGTCTGGAAGAGGGACACCTGGAACTCTTTCTTCCCCTTCAAGAAAATGGAGTCATCATTGGAGCTGTACTGAACACTCTTCACAAATCACAATAAGCTGCTTTATATGCAAATATTTTCTGAGGGATTCAGAACTTACCAACAGCCACTAAGTAAGAAGAAATTATGCTACTGATTATAAAAGAATGATTATTAGGCACTACACTAAAAAATTCTTGACTTGGACCTGGTGGCACATGCCTATAAGCCCAGCAGGGGGGAGGCTGAGTTGGGAGGAGTCTGAACATGAGGCCAGCTCAGGCTGATGCATATCCACGGCTCTTTGCATTCTAGCCTTAATCACTAGTTACTAAGCCTATTTATTTGTTTGTTGCTGTGATTTTTTTGGGGGGGTCTTTTTGAGACAGGGTCTCCCCGTAGCCCCAGCTGTCCTGGAACTCACTATGTAGACCAGGCTGGCCTTGAACTCACAGAGATCCACCTGCCTCTGCTTCCCAAGTGCTGGGATTAAAGGCGTGTGCCACTATGCCCAGCAATTTTGTTTGAGACAAGGTCTCCCTGTAGCCCCAGATGGCCTTGAACTCATAGAGATTCACCTGCCTCTGCCTCCCAAGTGCTGGGATAAAAGGCATGTGCTCTCAGACCTGGCTGTTGTGACGCTTTTAAAACAGTGTCTTGCTATGTATCTCAGGGTGGTCTTGAACTTGCAATCCTCTTGTCTCTTAAGATGCTAGGCTCACAGGCATGTACCATCACGCATAGCTTACTGAGGTTCTGGGTGGTGATGGGAATCCCTGAGACCTAGGAGGAGCTTGGAGAAGGTGACAGCATGGGTAGGGAAGGGAAGGCCTATAGAATGCTTCCCAACATCTTATTCAAAGGGAGAATAATAACTTAAAGTACTCAATCAGCACTATCTCCTCTGTTCAGTTTCTTTGCGGAAGGCAAATCTGGTCTTGTGTGTTTTATGATTCTTTTTTTAAAAAATATTTTACTTATTATTTTAATTTTATGTATATGACTGTATTGCCTGCATGTGTGTTAGTGCACCCATGTTGTGCAATGCCTGCAGAAGACAGAAGAGGCTGTTGGATTCCCTGGGACTGGAGTTTTGGACATTTGTTAGCTGCCATGTGGGTGCTGGGATTCGAACCCGGGTCTTCTGCAAGAACAACTAGTGTTCTTAACCAGTGAACCATCTCTCCAGCCCTCCATGATTCTTTTTCTATGTGAAAAAGAATGTCTGGGTACATATACCAGGCAGTACCCATGAAATCTAACAGTTCTGTATGGAAAGGACAAGAGACAGAAGAGGCAGTGGCAGTGTTAGGTGCCTCCTTTGGGACTCAGCCCTGACTCTCATAAGCAGAGCTGCAGGGGCTGTGTGCTGTCTAGAAGTGGGCTTCCAACTCAAACCAGAGGGCAATGAAAGATATAGGTGGCAGAAGTTAACTGTGCTAACATTCTGCAGAAGAATGTATGTGATATACAGATCCTATACAATGTATGAGTAAGTGACTTTCAATAGCTATGTGTGCTGGATAGCTTTAGTGTCAACTTGACACACCTGGGTTTGAGGGAGCCTCATTTGGGGAACTGCCTCCATTGCACTGGCCTGTGGCCATGTCTGTGGGGGCATCTTCTTGATTATTGAGAGATATGGGTGGGCCCAGCCCACTGTGGGTGGTGCCTCCCCTGGGCAGGTGGGTCTATGTTGTATAAGAAAGCAGGTTGAGTGTGGGCCAGAGGAGCAAGCCAGTAAACAGTATTCCTTCATTATCTGAGCTTCAGCTCCTGCCTCCAGGTTCCTGCCCTGGGTTCCTACCTTGGGCTCCCTGATGAACTGTGGCCCGGGAGTTAAGACAAATAAACCCTTTCCTCCCCATGTTGGTAGTGGACAGAGTGTTGTGTCACAGCAGTGGAAAATCAAACTAGAACACTATGCAATAGGAACTTTGATTATTCTTAATGTACATAAATGTTATTTGCAGTCTGAAATTAGGGGCAAACATGAGATGTTTCTCCTACCACTGCTTTGTGACATGCTTCTTGCATCCCATACCTACTCCTTTCTTAAATGACAGCCTGTAACAGCTCTACAGTAAGCATTCTTGTTCATTGATCTGTGAAAATATCTCATAGTGATTCCTATCTCTAAAGTGACTAAGAAAAGTGTGCTGAAATATTAAAAGATCCTCTCTGGTGTTCTTGGTACATGACAAAACTTGTTCATCAGCTTGGCATCTTACAACAGAAAGAAGGTAAAACAACCAACTTAAAAAAATGGGCTGGAGAAATAGCTCAGTGATTAAGAAGAGCACTTGCTGTTCTTAGAGGATCTGAGTTTGAGTCCCAGCACCCATGTTGGATGGCTCACAATCTCCTGTAACTTCAGCTCCAGGGTATCTGCCCTCTTCTGGCATCTATGGGCACCTGCACAAACATACTCATACATGCAACATACAGATATAAACATATGTATAAAAAAATAAAACAGATTCCTAGGACTGAACTAAGGCTGCAAAGCAGATGATCTGGGGTTTTAAGCCATGTAGCCAAACTGCTTTCCTGCCGTGCTCCAGGACAGCACACAGCTCTAACTCCCCTCGGGAGCTGCACTTGCAGCTCCTTTCTAGCACTCATCAATTTCTTGGCCAAAAGCCACACCTCACTATATTTTAATGATTTAATTAATTTTTAAATTTTATGTGTATGAATGTTTTACCTGCATGTTTCTAAGTGAACCCCTGTTGTGCAACATCTGTGGAGGTCAAAAGAAAGCCTTGGATCCACTGGAACTGGAGTCCCTGCAGGACTGGTGTTAGTTACCATGTGGGTGCTGGGAGTCAAACTGAGACCCCCTGGAAGAGCAGTAAATGCTGAACTGTTGAGCCATCTTTCTAACTGTACCTCATGGTATTTTAATCGCAACTTTTTCTTTTAGCAGAGATGTGGCGCAAATTTTCACCATGATAGTTTTTAATTTTGCTTTTATAGTTACCTTTTCACACCATCTGCTCTTTTTTCAAGTAGGTAAATGACTGTGTGTGTGTATGGTGTATCTGTGTGTGCAGACATACGTGTACAAGTATACGTGCATGGAGGCCAGAGAAAGATGTCAAGTGCCCTCCTCTACTGCTCTTTGCCTTTTCCCTCGAGATAGGGCCTCTAATTAAATCTGGATCTCACCATTTCTAACTCAGGCTGATGACCAACAAGTCCTAGTGATCTTCCTCTTCTCCATACCCCTAGTGCTAAAGCTATGGTGCAGCCAATGTGGCTTTTAAAATAATTTTTAATATTTGTGTGTGTGTATACACATAGGTGTGTAAGTTCCATGGCATGCATGTAGAGGTCAGAGGACAACTTGCAGGAGCTGGTTCTCTGCTTCTACCATGCGAGTCCTGTGGATCAAACTCAGGTTGTTAGGCTTGATGGCAGGCTGTATACCAGCTAAGCTATCTTGTTGGTTCCCACACCCAGTTTTTTAATTGGGCGCTGAGGATCTGAACTCAGGTCCTCATGTTTGTTGGGCAGCAAGTGCTCTTATCCAATGATTCATCTCTCCAGCCTTGATAATAGATTTTTTATAGATTGTTATTTTTGTTATGTAGAGTGACTAACCTTTATCTTATTTATTTTTAAAAAATATTTTATTATTTTGGACTGGAGAGATGGCTCAGCAGTTAAGAGCACTGACTGCTCTTGCAGATGGCCCAGGTTCAATTCCCAGCAACCACATGGCGACTACGAACCATCCTTAACTACAGTTCCAGGGGAATTCAAAGCCCTCTTCTGACCTACAAGGCATTGCACGACACTGGTGCACTCACATACATGCAGGTGATGCACTCATACACATAAAAAATAAATATTAAAAAAATTTTATTATTTTATGTGTATGAGTGTACTGCCTATGTGTGTAAGTGCAGTCATGTTGTGCAATGCCTGCGGAGGTCAGAAGAAGGTGTCGGATTCCTTGGAACTGTAATTACGGATGGTTGTTAGCCTCCATGTGGGTGCTGGGAATTGAACCTGGGTCCTCTGCAAGAGCAGTCAGTGCTCTTAACTGTTGAGCCATCTCTCCAGGCCCCCTTTATCTTATTTTTATTGATCTGGAAAAGTTCATGCTGAATCATTCTGAAAAATTCTTGCCTTTCTTTGATATGAAAATTCATTGACATTATTATTTTGGTCTTTTTGAGACAGGGTCTCCCTGTAGCCTCAGCTGTCCTTGAACTCACAGAGATTTGCCTGCCTCTGCCTCCCTAGTGCTGGGACTAAAGGCATGTGCCACCACACCTGGCTTCACTGACATTTTAAAAATTCTAACATACTGATAAGAAGAAATGAGAGCTCTAGACAAAGAACTGACCTCCTTAAACTCTGCCTTCAACACAGCATGTCCCAAAGTGGTCTGCCACTGGAGCTTCCGGCCACTGTGCTTGCCCAGGTAGAAGGTCTTGAACACTTCCTGAAGTCTGACCATCTGCCAAACCAGAAGACACATGAGACATACTGAGCACACCCTACAGCCATGCTGCACTTTATAGAGCCTGCACAGGCTTGCACAACTGAACTGAAAATGTAGCTCCATGTTTTGGACAGTTATTTTTCTGGATTCTACTACCCGTGAAAACGCCCATGATCCTTAGACCCTGGACTTTCCTATCCTACCTGGCTCTTGTTTGGACTGGTCCTCAGATAAGAATGTGTCTTACAGGCTCCACCCACCCTTTCTGGTCACCTCCAGTGGCACAAATGGCCTATTGCTGAGGCCGCTCTGGATGGCCTATAGTCAGCTGCCCCTGCTTAAGCTTTGCTTTCTCTCTCTGCCTCTCACCTATGCAGTGCTATAAGGACAAGTCTTCTTACCACACTCTAGCCAGGGCTGGTGTTGCACACGGTCATAGTCTGTATCTGAAATGTCCTCTGATGGTTCATGTGCTAAAGGCTTGGATGCCAGTATATAGGGTTTGGAAATCGATTGGATCATTCATGATGGCTCTGACTTCATCAATGACTTAATCCTTCAATAAGTTAGTAATCTGACAGCATTGGGAGGTTCTGGAAACTCAGAAGTGGGGCTTATTTGGAGGAAGTACGTCACTGGGAGGTGTGCCTTTAAAAGTACTTCCTAACCTTGGTCTCTTTCTGGACCCATGAGGTAAGCAGACTTATCACTGCATGCTTACATTGCTGTGATGCTCTGCCTTACCTCAGAGCAATGGATATAGTTGACTGTGGACTGAAATCTCTGAAACCATGAACCAAAATGAATCTTCACTCCTTTCTCTCTGGTACTGTCACAGCGACAAAAAGCTGACCAACACAGAAACTCCCCAGGTACATGCACAGAGAGCACTGAAGGACTTCAGAGGTCATCAAGGGAGTTAAGAGTGGGTTAGCACTCACCAGCAGAGTGGGTCTGTTATAAAACCCAGCTTGGCTGTCTCTCCTGAGTCCCCCTCTACTTATTGCTATGTACCATCTCAGCCAGAAAGTCCTTACCACAAGCAGCCTCTTAATCTTGGCCTTTCCAGCCTCTAGAACTAAATTATCCAGTCTTGGGAATTCTGTTGCAGCAATAGAAAGCAGACTAACACAGGTATTATCAAGTAAGTAAAATGACAACTCAAGAGAGAACACATTTACAAACCATGTTATCTGACAAAGGTCAAGTAGCGAGAATATATAAACGCTATTCACAATTTGGTAACAAAAGACAACTCAAAAAAGGACCTGAATAGTTATTTCTCTAAAGATATAGAAATGGCCAACAATCACAAGAAAAGAGCTTAGCATCACTATGAGCAGAGAAATGCAAACTGTATCCAGGTGAGACACCACCTCATACCCATTGGGCAAAAGGATGGAATAAAAACTGATGAGGGGGAAGCTGCCTCTCTCACTCCTCAGTTAAATGAAACATGGAGCAATCAGAACGGGCAGTTCTGTTCCTAGCTATATACCCAGAAGTGACCACAGGTGTTCACGTAAAAATCTGTACACACATCTTCAGAGATATATTATTAATGATAGCCCAAAGGCAGAAAGAACCCCAAAACCCATCATTCAGTGAATGGCTAAGCAATCTATCTATATAAGGAAGCACGAGGAACCTAGGAACTGGAAGCTAACACTGAGGCACACATCCTGTATAATAGACACCAATGTGTACATCATGTATGAGCCCAATAATATGAGACACTGAGGGTAGGCAATTCTACATAGGATGCAGAAAATCGCTCTAGGCCAAGGGGAGGGGATGGGGAATGGCCACCACCTAAGAGGTACAGGGTTTCCATCTGCTTACTTAATGCACCAAACTAAGATGGAAAATTTTATATGAAAGTGTTTATTTATTTATTTATTTTTGCCATAGTTGAAGCAATTACAGCATGGTAAGGCTCCAACATATTTTGCTAGAACGCAAAAAAGTCCTCAAAGACAATGGGGATATGAAAAAAGGACTAGGGAGCCAGCTAAATGATCTAGGATGATGTGGACACCAAAATAATAAAACACAAGTTCAGTGACAGACAAAAATAAAAATGATGGGGACTAGAGGAGTATCCTTTAGAGCAGAGTATCAGCTTCCAAACAGAAAATAGGAAAAATAAATCCCAATTATCACAGTAACATCAATTCTTACTGTGACAAGAATCCTCATGTAGGCAACAGAGGAGTGTAAGATGTTTGCACAGTCCTGAATAACTCCCCACAAAAAGGAAAAACACCAACATAGCAGCCCAACGTCATTCCCATTCCCCCTTTATTTTGAACAGGGTCACACTCTGTAGCCCCAGCTGGTGTGAAACTTGCTATGTAGACCAGGCTGGCCTCGAACTCATAGATCCATCTGCTACTTAAAGGTGTGTACCACTATGTCTGGCATGAGCCAGTTTTTCATTGCTATGACAAATACTTGAGAAAAACATCTAAAGGGGGAAGGATTTATTCTGACTCAGTTTCAGTTGGGTGGTTCCATTGCTTTTAGGCCCATGGTAAGGCAGAAACAACCTGGAGAATGGGCACAATAGAGGAATGCTGTTCACCTCATGGTGGCCAGGAAGCAAAGAAAATGGGAAGGGAGCAGAGCCAGGATATACCTACTTTCTCCAACTATACTCTACTTTCCACAGTTCTACCATCTTTTAATAGTCTATTCACATTTGAATTCCTTTCCATCAATGGATTAAATCAGGTCAGAAGGGTTACATGATCTAACCCTCTCTAGAAATACCCTCAAGGACATAACCCAGATGTGCGCTTCACTAACCTAGGCAGTCTCAATCTAATCATGCTGACAACTGAGATTAACCATGGCAATTAACAATATACTTGAGACAGCTGACAAAACTGGGGTGAGGAAATTACACTAGTGGTCTCCTGATCTCAGAAAGTACTTGGAGTACTCCTGGGAGGCCCCTAATTGAGGCAGTAAAGGCAATGGCACCACACAACCCACAGGCACATGTAAACAGGAACAGGAAAGAGATGCTACCCACACAGCACTAAACAGGAGCATTCTAGGAACTTTCTGTAAGTCTGGATTATTTCAGAATAAATGAAAACACTGGCAGTGTTATGAGAGGCCTCCCTGGGTAGAGAGAGGAGAGATTCTGGCCAGGGTAAAATGATCCTCAGCAGGGAGGAAAAAGCACAGCACAGCTGCTGAGGCTGATGGAACATGGAGGTTTTCTGGAGGAGGTTCTGCTCTGAAGCACAAACATGCCTGAAAGTAAATATAACCCCAAGTGGTTGGGACAACCAAGCCTATGGTGAGTGGCAGGAGCAGGCAGAGCTCATGTGCTAGGAAAAATTGCCCATGGGTTAAGTCCAGTCAGGTTCAGTGAGAAGGGTGATGGAGGTGCGGGGCACCATGCACAGACACGGAAAAAGGGAAAATGCTAGCTGGATGCTGAGTCACAGGGCCTCTCAATGTGTACAGTAAGGAAAGAATACCTAGGACAGAGATGGTGACAAACAGAGAAGGCTACAGAGTCCAATGGGACTGAAACAAGGAAATTGAGAAAAGAAACTGCCTTGGAACTGAGTGGTGGTAGAGGTTTAGAGGGCCTGGTCTTGAGCTGGTCTCTATAGTTTCCCAGGTTTTTGTTCTCTGGAAAGGCTATTGCTTTCTGTGCTGAGGACAGAGTCACTCAATCTGTTTTATCATGCTCCAACTGGGAGCCACTCCTCCTTTCTCACTTGGCATCACTGATGGAGTGGACACAGCTTGCTCTACTAGATTTAGTCTCACTGAGCTCACGAGTCCACCTCTCACTTTAGGTCTTCCACAGCACTTCAAGTTGGGGCTGACACACAAGGCCCTAAGCAATGCCATGTCCAAGAACTTGGTGTCATCTATGATAAAAAGAAAAGGACAGCCTAGCAAACAGTTACTTCCACAAGTGTCCTTGCTGACAGACAGCAGGGGACATGGACTATGACTTAACAAGGTCATTGTTAAGCATCACTTTCCAGAGGCCACGGAATGTGGAGTAGGTGACTTGAAAACCTCTCTCCCACACTCCTAAGGTGGGCTTGACTAGGGCAGCTGGATACTCACCTCTGGAGGGAGGTGCACTTCCATGGGTGTGTAAGTAGGCCAGTAGCCCATGGTAAGTATGTTCACTGTGAGGTCAATTGGGCCAGGCGCACTTTGATTTTGCATATGCTAAAAACAAAGAGGTCCAAGATAAAATTAGTTTTTGGAGGGGGAAGTATTTATTTTTATATTATGAGCATTGCTGCATGTATGTGTGCACGACATGCATACAATGCCTGTGGTGATCAGAAGAGGGTGTTGGATTGTCTGGAACTGGAATTACAGATGTTTGTTAGCTGCTCTGTGGGTGCTGGGAACTCAACCCAGGTCCTCTGTAAGAGCAACCAGTGCTCTTCACTGCTGAGCCATTTCTCCAGCCCTATTTTATTTTTAAAATATTATTTTTATTTTATGTGTATGCATATTTTGCCTGCATGTACTTAAGTGCACCTGTGTTGTGTAATGCCACAGAGGCCAGAGGCGGTGCTGGATCTCGTGGAACCAGAGTTACAGATGGTTGCTAGCTGCCATATGGGTGCTGGGAACAGAATCTAGGTACTCTGCAAGAGCAGCCAGTGCTCTTAACCACTGAGTCATTTCTCCAGTCCCCAAATAATTATTTTAAAAAATCACTACAAATACTTAATGTATTGAAGAGGAAATACTATAATTTTTAAAAACAGTTTCCTGGATATCTACCTTAGTCTTTTGAACATATTCTGCTGTATTACAATGTCACTGGGATGACTTTCCTTACTTAGGTTATGTCACCAATGTGACAAACTGTTAAGAGTCACTAAGCCAGAATTTTAAAGAAACAACTCACTTGCTTGAAGTGAACCATGATGTCCTTGGAAAGTTCCATGTCCTTGAACATGCCCTCCAGCTTGCTGGTGAAGGCAGCCCCGCACTCTGTGACATGTGAAGGAGTGAGTGAGAAAGAGCTGTGCATGGTGCCCACCTGGGGAGCCAGCCTACCCTGAGCTCACCGTGCTTAAGCTTTGATAGCATGGACTTCTCAGCATCCACTGATGCACTCTTCCCCACCAGCAGCCTTTTTGCCAAATCTTTCTTATAAAATGCTTCAAAGACATCTTTACCTATGAAAACAGAGAACCAAAACTTGAAACAGTTAGTGTCCATACTGTACTACACTTGCCAACAAGTTCATGTGAGTTAGAGGGAGCATCCCTTCTCAGCAGAGGCCTGAGTGTTCGTTGGGAAACACAGCATCCCCTTCTTACCATGGATGAACCGGAACAGTATCATAATCTTGTCCAAGATCCGTTCCAGCTCTTCATCTGTTGCTTCCTTGTTGCCCGCTCGTAACTTTGAATCCACATGCTTGGCTGGAAGAACAAGAGTTATAATTGGAAAAGAGCTTGGGGGGCAGAGGAGCATGCAGCTCAACAACAGAGACCTTGCCAGCTGCACACAGGCATGAGGTTCCATCTCCAGCAAGAAAGAAAGAGAAAGAGAGAGAGAACACCCAAGCTTTCATTTCTTCAGGTGACACCTGGCTACAGCATTCTGGAACTTTCCTAAAGCAACACCATTGCAAGACAAGAAGCAAACAATGACTTTTCTCATGGCACTGCAAGACAGGCACTGTCAAGGTAATGAGAATAACTGTTTCCAGATCTTTAACAAACCCATGGACTGAATGTAGCCCTGGCTGGCCTGGAACTTACTATGTAGACCAGGCTGGTCTTGAACTCAGAGATCTGCTGGCACTGCTGCCTCCCAAGTGCTGAATAAAGGTGTATGCCACCATGCCAGCTTCAGAAGTTAGGAGTGTTAAATAGCTACACATAACAGTAGTTAAAAGAGTCCTGTTTGGGATCCCACCTAATTTTATCCTATTTGAGCACTGAGAAGAGGAGATGAAGGTGACTAAAGAGTCTACCACTCGAGATGTTATCCAAAGGTCAATAATCTTACTATCATCATCCTGCAAAGGCATCACAATTAACACACCAGGGCACTCCTGAGTTGAAATCACTTTCTCATAGTCAGGACAACTAACATTACAAAAGCAGTTTTAGAGCCCGGAAGCACTTGCTAACCAACCCTCCTGTGCTGCCTCTGAGCTGTCGAGCTACAGGTCTCTACTGAATCCTTACCACACACCCCTTTATGGGTGTGCAGCTGTGTGTGAATACTGCTGAACACGTGTGTCCTAGTAAGGCTTGGTAAAGATCATTCTCCTACTCTTTCCATGAGAAGTTTGACTACTTGAGGAAAATATCTGTTTGAATTTTGCCTCATTTTTCCTTTTGTTTTTGAGACAGGGTCTCACTTGTAGCTCTGGCTGGACTAGAACTATGTAGGGCAGGCTGACCTTGAATTCAGAGATCCCCATGCCTCTGCTTCCCAAGTGCTGGGATTAAAGGTGTGTGCTACCACACTTGGCACTCATTTACTTGTATTTAAAAAACATCTAGGGGGAAAAAAAAAAACCCACACCCCCACACCCATCTAGGGAGCCTTTAATCCCAGGTGATTTGAGGATAAATGCTCCTGACACCAAGCCTGAAAAATCTGAGTTCAATCTGCAACCCACATGATAGAAGGAGGGAATGGACTCCTGTAAGTTGTCCCCTGATGTCTATGCGCATAGGCACATACATGCACAATACAAAAAATTTTAAATGTTAAAAAATCCCATCTAGAATTATTTTGCTACCGATGAGTTCTGCAGGCTTGTTCGGTCTCTTGTTGATAAATGTCTCAAACGACTCTTTCATCAGGTTGATGAAGCGCTCATTCCTCTGGAAGCACACCTCCACCACATGGTCCACTTTGTCCTTGAAATCCAATAGGTCTTGTACCATGTCTTTATCTTTCTCAGGATTAATGACAATCGTTGTCCCAAAGGTCTAAAGAAGCAAATAAATACCAATCAGCAACAGGTTTAGGAATCCAAAGTATCTTCAGCTGTCTCATGACATGGTGGCAGGCCTGGCCCTGCCGCCTTGACATTGGCAGCACCCTCTCTACTTGTGGCTATTGGACACAACTGTAGATAGCCCTAGATCCCTTTGGGCAGGTGGTGCCTGGTGCTCAGAGAAGTCCTATATCAGCCCCAGTCAGCATTCCTGCTGATCAGGATACACCAGGAGGATGCTGAGTGGTGGGTGATACACTGGCAACTGAAGTAAACAAAAAAATATCTGGAACACAAAGGTAGGAGTTTGGGCAATAAATCCTAAATCTGACTTAGAAATACAGAAACAGATAGCTCAACCTGCTCTACCAAATGTGCAGTAGCTCTTAGTGAGCAGAGACATCTCCGATAAAGAGATACATCAATGGCTGCTGCTGAAAAGTATGATGTGGAACTGAGCTAGTATTTACACTGATGGTGGATATAAAGTCATCTTTGCCTACATTGCAGGTGTCTACCTAGACAGTGTCCATCACTGTTGGTGTCATCTTAGAAAAGTAAATTTATCCCAAGAAGACATTTATAGAGATGATTTGGGAGAAGATGGTACAACAGATGACCCCTCACAAGTTTACTTCCTCTGTAAGGGGTGCTGTATGTCCTGAGTGGGTACCATCTAAGGACCATTGCATGGTACCTTAATGTACTCGCTCCAGTGCTGCAGCAGTGCATGTTGCCCACCCTTCACCCGGCTGAACAGCTGGTACATCTGTGTGAGGTCAGGCACCCTGTTCTCATCCAGCAGGTGGTCAAGCCCTAGGAATGTGTAGAACAGGAGCAAGTTACAGTAGGAAGCCAGCAACCATGAGTGAAAACAATTCTGTCCATACCACAAAGTCAGTGTGTGGCTTGGACACTTACAGCACATACCTGTAACACAAGTGAGCTGGTCTAGTCAAATGTCTGAGGTGGATTATATAGGAAAATCTTAATTTCAGACTGTGTTGGGAATGTATTATTTACTTTCTCATTTCACTAAAGACTTATATCACAAAAGGATTAAGATTCAAAACATTTAGACAACTATTTGCCCTGAGATTCATGATCCAAGTTAAACGTTAGTCTATCATGGGGCTGGGGAGATGGCTCAGTGGTTTAAGAGCACTGGCTGCTCTTGCAGAGGACCCAGGTTCAGTTCCCAGCACCCACATGGCAACTAACAATCATCTGTAACTCCAGGGGATCCAACATCTTCTTCTGGCCTGTTTGTGTAGGCAAACACTCATACACATAGAGTAAAAATAAATCTTATGCAGGGCGTGGTGGCACACGCCTTTAATCCCAGCATTGGGGAAGCAGAGGCAGGTAGATCTCTGTGAGTTCAAGGCCAGCCTGATTTACATAGTGAGTTCCAGGACAGCTGGGGCTACAGGGAGACCCTGTCTCAAAAAGACAAAAAACAACAACAACAACAACAACAACAACCCAATTTAAAAAAAGATTGGCACACGACACGCCTGTAATCCCAGCATTTTGGAGGCAGAAGCAGGCGGATCTTTGTGAATTTGAGGCCTGCCTGGTCTACACGAGTGAGTTCCAGGACAGCTGGGGCTACAGGGAGACCCTGTCTTAAAAAGACCAAAAAAAACCCCAACAAAAAACAGTAAGACAAATAAATACTTGCATATCAGATATTGTGATATTTAATATGGTTATAATTTTCACTGTTTTAGTTATTTAAATTTTATAAAGATTTCCTAAAATCATACTAGAGCAGAGGACTTTGCTAGTGGGTTTCTTTTCATTTCCTAATCCTATCACTTATTTAAATGTTTGTTTTGAGATAAGGCCTTACTTTGCAGCCTTTTCTGGCCTCAACCTGGAGAACCTCCTGCTTCAGCCTTCCTTCCTTGGAATTATAAGCATGTGCCCGTAGTAACTAGAAGATTTTCTAATCTTGCTTTCTGGCAGCTGGGAAGCTGCCTGCACAACTGGAGGCTATGAGCTCTCAGAACACTTGGCAATGTCTATATACATACAGGTGACTAAAAGGGAAGGTATGTGGTGGTGTCCACTGTGTCAAGCTAGAGGTTCAAGACGCTTGGTATGTCTCAAGATTACTTGTGAGGTAATCACACAAGATTTTAATTCTGGGGGTGGAAGGATGGCTCAGTGGTTAAGAACACTGGCTGCTCTTACAGAGGACCCAAGTTCAGTTCCCAGCACCTACATGGTGGCTAACAACATTCCATAACTCTAGTTCCAGGGAATCTGATGCCCTCCTCTGACCTCTGTGAGCACTGCATGCATGTGATGCATGTATATACATGCAGGCAAAACACTCAAACACATAAAAATAAAAATTTAAAAATAGTATTTCAATTTTGTAAATTATCTCCCTGAAGTCCTAAATAATGTCTTACTTTTTTTTGAATCTTGTGTGTGTGTGTGTGTAGTGTGTATATATGTGCTCATGTGTATATATGTGCAGACACCATCACATGGGAGCCAGAGGTTGAACTTAGGTGTCTTCCTCAATCATTTTCCACTTTTTTTTTTAATTTTTTTATTTTTGAGACAGTGTCTAACTACTAGTACTGGCTAGCCTGGAACTCACTATGTAGACCAGGCTGGCCTCAAACTCAGAGAGATCTATCTGCCTCTGCTGGGATTAAAGGGGTATGTCACCACACCAGGTTTTTTTTGAGCCAGGGTCTCTCACTGAATTTGGAGGCTAGACTGGCTAAGAGATCCTCCTGTCTCTGCCTCTCCAGTGCTGTGAGTACAGGTGCTTGTTCCCTGTCTGTTTTTTTTGGGGGGGGGGGGGGTGCAGGGGGGATGTCTTTTTCAGACAGGGTCTCTCTGTAGCCCCAACTGGCCTGAAACTCACTATATAGACCAGGCTGGCCTTGAACTCATTTGCCTCTGCCTCCCAGGTGCTGGAATTAAAAACATGTGCCACCATGCTTGGCTCTTGCCTGGCTTTTTAATGTGCATCCTGGGGATCTAAACTCAGGTCCTCATGCTTGTGTGGCAAACACTTTATCAACTGAGCCATCTTTATAGTCCCCTAATAAAATCTGAGTAAACTTTTGCATTTATAATTACCATTTTCCTATAATAATTTTGCTCATTGAAGTATGCATTGAAATAAGTTATGTAAATTTCTCCTATTTGCGCTTATTTGTTTAGTCTTTTTGAGATAGGGTCTCCCTGTAACCCCAGCTGGCCTGGAACTTACTATGTAGTCCAGGCTGGCCTCAATCTCATGGAGAGTCACCCGCCTCTGCCTCCTGACTGCTGGGATTAGAGGCATATGCCACCATGCCCAGCTTGTCTTTAAAAAAAAATTTTTTTTTTAATGTTTATATGTACGCATGCTCACAAGGGTGTAGGTACCATCAAAAAACCAGAAAAGAATGTCAAATCCCCTGGAGCTAGAGCTACAAGTCGTTGTGAGCTGCCTGACATGGGTGCTGGGAACCAAACTCCAGTTCTTTGAAATAGTGGCTCTTAACTGCTGAACCAGTTCTCAAGTACCATCTTTTTTTTTTTCTTAGCCTTTCAAAGTTTTTAAAATTATTTTTGTGGGGGCTGGGCGTGGTGGCACACACCTTTAATCCCAGCACTCGGGAGGCAGAGGCAGGCGGATCTCTGTGAGTTCAAGGCCAGCCTGCTCTACATAGTGAGTTCTGGGACAGCTGGAGCTATAGGGAGACCCTGTCTCAAAAAGACCAAAAAAAAAAATTTTTTTTGTGCCATTATGAACTCATGAATTTTAGTATACAAACTAATTTCAGTCCAAACTAATTTCAGTCCATTGTGTTGTTCTATCTTGGTCTGATAGCAAAAGCTTTTTAGTGGCTCTCAGATCTCTCAACGTGCCCCTAGAAGTCTCATAATGTTTTCTTATTTCTAAATGAGATGCTGAGGTTCTTTTGTGTACTTTCCTTTCCAAGACCTGGAATCCCACATTCTCCAGCAGCCCTTTAGTTTCCTTTTTAGTAGAGACAGTTACTAAGAACCCACATTGTAGACATACAGGTCCTCACTGCTATCACTGGACAGTGTTTTGAGACTTAGAGTGGACAAAACAATAAAATGCGTAGTTTTTAAAAAGAGGAAATACATGAGCTTATCCTTTTACTCAGAAGCATTTTATGTTCAGAGTTTTTCTTGGCTCCCTTTACATTTGTATCTCTTCTGGCACTATCAATGTTATTGCCTAACAATATTAATAAATGTTTCTTTTACAATAAAAACCTAGTTCATATAGCTATAGAATATAGCAGTATCAATATTTTGCTAATAATATTTTGTGGGTTTTGTTTTTCTTTTTTAATTTTTGAGATGGGGTCTTATTAAGTAGCCCTGACTGGCCTTGAAATCAAGAGAGTTACCTGCCTCTGTCACTATCTCAGGAAAACTGGGATTAAAGGCATGCACAGCCAAACCTAGCTAATATTATTTCTAAAAATAATTTGGAAAAAAAAATTAAGAATTATTTTATTCTCCTACACTCTTTTTGCTTGAGATTGGTCCCAGAGCCTAACGTAGGCTAAGTGAGCATTCTACCACTGTGCTACATCCCCAGCCCTAGAATGTTTTATATTTCCTATTATTCTTAGGATATGATCCACCAAAGATATACAATGACGCCTTATTAAAATGCACTCAACCCAGCCAGGCATGGTGGCCCACGCCTTTAATCCTAGCACTAGGGAGACAGAAGCAGGTGGATCCCTGTGAGTTCAAGGCCAGCCTGTTCTACATAGTGAGTTCCAGGACAGCTGGGGCTACAGGGAGACCCTGTCTCAAAAAGTTAAAAAACAAACAATAACAACAATAACAAAAGCACCCAATCCTGGGGCTACAGGGAGACCCTGTCTCAAAAAGTTAAAAAAACAAACAATAACAACAATAACAAAAGCACCCAATCCAAATTCTGAATACATCTGCTTTTGGGTGGACATTGTACCAAGTCAAAATACAGCAGTTGTATAGCCACTGGATATTGGGCTCAGGCAGCAGACATGTGGACCTTGGTCTTTCAATGTAAGACTGGATGATGACCTCCTAGAACTATGCTACATGAGGACAGCTTATGAAGCAGAGGCCTAGTACTCAAGTACTTTTCCTGGCTTTACACAGCTCCCAAGTGGAAGTTCCTTTTTCATGTGTCTCATGGGGGCTAGCACTACCATCTGGCAGAGCAGAACTTACATCAGAACAGATGCAGGCAGGATATGGTGCTTCCCCAAATTAAACCTTCAAATACTCAAAACTCAAGAAAGAAGCTGCAGTTTTCCAACACATGTAAATGACTTTGTTTTACTTTAGTTATTTGTGTCTTCTTTTGAGACAGGGTCCCCCTGAAGCCCCGCTGGCCTGAACTTGCTATGTAGACCAGGCCAGCTTTGATCTCATGGAGATCCACCTGCTTTTGCCTCCCAAATTCTGGGATTAAAGGTGAACTTGCTATGTAGACCAGGCCAGCTTTGATCTCATGGAGATCCACCTGCCCTGCATACCACAATGCCCTATTTGTATTTTTATGCATATGTATGTAAGCTGCACATGAGAACAGTACCACAAATGTCAGAAGAGGGTGTCAGATCCCCTGAAACTGTAGTTAGATGGTTGTGAGCACTATTGGTAACTGAACCTGGATCCTCTTGTAAGAGCAGCAAGTACTTAAGCACTGAGTCATTTCTCCAACCCCCTCAATGACTTTCAAATGGTGACATGGAACCAGAGAGTCATAAAATGTGACATTTGGTATCCAAGTGTTATAAAAGGGAGGTTGTGCTTATTATAATTTCAAGAGAATTAAGTCCTTTAGTGAAGGTGAGAAATTAAAACAACAAAGAATGAGCTAAACATGTCAGCATCATTGCCAAAAAGTACAGACCACGGAGACAGTAATGGGAGTAGAAATACACTTTGTGGGTTTTGGGTGTTTTTTTTTTTTTTTTTTTTTTTGAAAAAGGGTCTCTCTGTAGCCCCAGCTGTCCTGGAACTATGTAGACCAGGCTCGCCTCGAACTCACAAAGATCCGCCTGCCTTTGCCTCCCATGTGCTGGGATTAAAGGCCTGTGCCACCACGCCTTGTACACTTTGTGGTTTTAATATTATATGTGAGGTGGTATGATATGCTCTGAAGATACACCACAAGGAAGATGTATATTATAAACCCTAAGCTAAGTGCCCAAAACTGCAGTGTTGCATACAGACAGCCATTCCTATAGCTATTCTGAATATAACTGAACTATAAATCCAATTCCTGTCCCTCTCCAAGTACACCACCATCTCTGGCAAGTAGCGTAGGCATATATGTTCATGGTAACCTAATGTGGTGGTTTGAATGAGAATGTTCCCCCATAGGCTCCAAGTATTTGAACATTTTGTCCCTAGTTGGTACTGTTGTTTTGGGAGGTCTTAGAAGGTGTGGCCATCCTAGAAGAAGCATATCACTGAGAGTGGGCTTACAGAGTTCTTAAGCCTTGCCAGATCTCCAGTTGTTCTCTGCTTCTTGTGCCTGCTTGAAGATGTGAGAACTTAGCTTACTTCCACTCTAGCCATTTCTGCTGCCATGCCTCTTGGCCATGATGGATTCTTGCCCCCTTGGAACTGTCAGCTAAGGGTGCGGTGGCACATGCCTTTAATCCCAGCATCTGGGAGGCAGAGGCAAGTAGTTCTGAGCTTGAGACCAGCCTGGTCTACATAGTGGGTTCCAGGCCCACTGGGGCTACAGGAAGACCCGTCTCAAAATGACCCCCCCCACCCCGCAAAAAAAAAGTTCCCTTGGTCATGGTGTTTCTATGACAGCAACAGAAAAGTAACTAAGATCCCTAGTATATAGTTTATGAAGAACTAGAAGAGAGGAGACTGAAGGTTCCAAATAAAGAAACAGAGGAGATGGAGATGCTGATGACTCTCATTTAATATCAGTATGTATTGCATGCATGTATTGAAATGTATCATGTATTAAACATTATAATGCCCAACAAACAGGCACAATTATCTCCTGTTAAATAAAAGGTTCGTGGGGTTGGAGAGATGTCTCAGCATTTAAGGGCACTGGCTGCTCTTATAGAGACCTAGGTTCAATTCCCAGCACCTACATGGCAGCCAACAACCATCTATAACTCCAGTTAAGGGGATCTGACACCTTGTTCTACCTTTTGCAGGCACTGCACAGAGGGGTGCCTTTACATACATGGAAGCAAAACACTCATACACATAAAAATAAATTAAAAATATGGTTGGAGAGATAGATAGCTCAGAGGTTAAGAGCAGTGGCTGCTCTTCCAGAGGACCCAAGTTCAGTTCCCAGTACCCACATGGAGGCTTACAACTGTCCATAACTACAGTTTCAGAGGATCTGACCTCCTCTTCTGCCCTCTGCAGGCACTTCATGGACATCGTGCACTTAAATGCAGGCAAAACACACACATAATAAAAATATATCAAAAATAAAAATAATTAAAAGCTTTCAAGACAGTTTAACATGCCACCAGGGCTGAAAACCACTGGCATAAAGTTCTTTAATAGTTAATGAAAGTGCAAGGTACAAGCGAGGTATGGTGGTATATACATATGATCGTAGCTGCTTCTATTTATTTTCCCCTCAGTGGTTAACACTGACAGTGTGTTTATTAAAGGAGATTCTCAATGGTTTGTCTAATGAAAATAATATATCTCTACATATAGTGCTTCCTGAGTTTAGAGTTAAAGATTAACATTCAGTTTAATTCACACAGACTGGGAAAATCTACCTTTCTGCAGAATTGCTGTCAAATGTTCTCCTAATAGCTGCTTTTCCACACAGGCAATCAGTGGTTTCCTATAAAAGCAAAACAAAGTGTCAGCAACAGAGATCTGCCAAAGGTGAGAGTTAAATCTATAACAGGCAGCCTATAAGCTTTTCTTCATGCCAGCAAGCAATGGTGACTTCTGATGACAATTTTAAAGTCAATTTTTCTTTTCTTCCAATTTTTTCCTTCTGATTTTTTTGAGACAGAATCTTACTATGTAGCCCTGGCTGACCTGGAATTCATAGAGATCCTTCTGCCTCTGCCTCCTGAGTGCTGGGATTAAAGGTGTGCACCACCACACTTGGCCATTTTATTCTTTTCTTTTTTTTTTTCTGGTCTTTTTGAGACAGGGTCTCCCTTAGCCCCAGCTATCCAAGAACTCACAGAGGTCCACCTGTCTCTGCCTCCTGAGTGCTGGGATTAAAGGTGTGCACCACCACACTTGGCCATTTTATTCTTTTCTTTTTTTTTTTCTGGTCTTTTTGAGACAGGGTCTCCCTTAGCCCCAGCTATCCAAGAACTCACAGAGGTCCACCTGTCTCTGCCTCCTGAGTGCTGGGACTAAAGGTATGTACCACCACCCTTGGCCATTTTATTTTATTATTTTCTTGAGATAGGGTTTCACTACGTAATCCAAGCTGGTCTTGAGTGCATGACCTTTCTGCCTCTACTACCCAGTGCATGGACTACAGACATGTATCATCATGCCCGGCTTCCTATAGCATTTCTAAACGCAAGTTACCGAATACCACAGAGAGGTCCACCTGGTAGGCCCAGGGACTGCTGGTAATGAACACCTGAGGAGCCTGCCTCCCTGGCAGGCTCATATGTATTATATGTTGTAATCCGACTTTCAGTTCTGCCCTCCATGGTCTGACACTTAATGTTACTTGCTAAGACTTCCTGGACTGCAGACATAAACTCCAAAGTAGTATCTAGAGTCCAGAAGAGGGAGTCCAGTGATGCAGTCTAGAGCCCTGAAGAAGGCATCCAGTGGTGGATGTAATCTAGAGTCCTATTGGGCATACCCAGTGAAGCAGCCTGGTTTCAGTGCTGATGGTTATGCTGGTCTACAGGCAGGATGGCTGTTACTGTGTTGTGGTACCACCAGGCCTAGGATCCACACTAGGTTATTTACTCTGGCAAACTACTATCTCCGTCACAGTTCAGACTCTAGTCTCTCTTCTCCATCACTGCCTATCATTTTCCTGCCTTTGTCCTTTCTTCCAAATGATCTCAGCCTTGCTCTTCACCTTCCACAACATGGGACTAGCAGTTGAGGGCCCTACAGACCCACCTACCCTCTACTTTTTTTCACTTTCTGTCACTTGCCTGAGACACACTCCTGTAGCTCCATGCCTCATCCTGATTGCCCCATCCTATTATCATTAAGCAGGATCCTGCTTGTGGTAGTAGACTGCCATGAATTCTGGGCACATGGGTATCACACAAAACAGAGCACTAGAAAATAAGGGAATTCAGAAGGCCTGACCACTACAGTCACAGGTACAGAAATTATCTTGGCTTTCTCTTTTATTATTCCTAACTCAATTTTTTGTTCTGTGCAAAAGATCAGAGCATCTGTTTTATCCTAAGACTGATTAACTTTAGGCATTTTCTCAAGCCTTCATTTTAAAGTTTATAAAGAACTTATTGCCTCTGTGTGTGTGTATGTGTGTGTGCACGCGCACACGTGTGCATATATGTATGTGTGTGTATGTGTGTGTGTATCCCCACAGCACATGTGTGGAGGTCAGAGGAAACCTGCAGGAGTCAGTTCTATTTATCATGTGGGTACCAAAATTGAACTCAGATTATTAAACTTAGGAGTGCCCTTATCCACTGAGTCATCTTGCCTGCCCTATAAGAAATGTTTCTTTAAAAGACAGGATCTCACTATGTAGCCCTGGCTGGCCTGGAACTTGCTAAGTACAGATCAGGCTGGCCTGGGACTCACAAAGATCCATCTGCCTGTATCTCCTGAGCACTCGGATTAAAGGTGTGCACTACCATGCCCAGCCTTTTATAATCAACTTTTTAACATGCCATCTTATTTATAATCTCACAGCACCCAAGGAGAGAAAGGCAGGTTAAATTCCACCCTCCATTCCACACATGGGAAAATGGAGCTTAGAGAGGTAAGTAACCCAAGGGAACCATTTTCGAGGGGAGCCCAAGGTGGCTTTTGCATCTCCCTGGCTGCTTCTCAGCCTCCTGTGGGCTCTTCCCATCTCCTCTCCCCAATGAAATGGGAGTATAATGAATATGCCACTATTCACAAGCAATCCAGTATTTACCCAGCTCAGTTCTGGACCAGACACCCAAGACCTATGGTTTCTCTTACTCACAAGGGGAGAATATAATCCTTCTTTTAAAGATGCCATTTCCTGTACTATGCTATGTCTGCTGTGATCCTGTCCCTTCCCTTCTTCCTCATTCTCCACAGGAGTGGAGCTTTGCATGGGTCACCATGTCTCCTCTATGCCTCCTCCAGGGCTCCATAGGCTGCACACTTCCTCACAGCAGTAAATACTACATGTCTTACACAAACATACATACTCTCTTTTTTTCTCTCCCTAGGTGCTCATCAACCTCAGGTCTAGAGAAAAAAGACAGATGAAAAGAGAAAATAATATGATAAGAATTATAACTATGTATGACATCTAACAAAAAGCTTATAACTGGGTATCAGAGAAATAGCTTAGCAATTTGGTGTATACTGTTCTTGCAGAAGACCAGAATTCAGTTCCTAGCACTCATGTTGGGTAGGTCAAAATGGCCTAGGGGCATCTAATACTTCCAGCCTCTGAGGGCATCTGTACTCATGTGTATATACTCACACACATACACATAATTAAAAATAAAAATAAAGCCAGGCATGGTGGTGCATGCCTTTAATCCCAGCAACACAGGAGGAGGCAGGTGGATCTCTGTGAGCGCAAGGCCAGCCTGGTCTACATTGTTCCAGGTCAGCCAGAGCTACACAGTGTCTCAAATCAACAAACAAACAAATAAAATCTTTAAAAACAAAAATCTAGTAATAGAAGAGCCTTGAATTCATCAGAAGTGATGCTCCATTAAGCAAAGAGAATCCCTGTATTGGCACTCGGATGCCAAGGGCTTCAGCTGACATTATGCCCTTGAGGGTCACTTGGTAAGAAGTACAGTTTGTGAGTACTGAACACAGACAGATTATAACTATGAGCTGTATTTAGTGACAATGCTTACTGTGTGCTGTGGTCTAGATAAGTGATCACTCGGTCTGCTTCCTCTTCTAGACGCTTACTCACATGGTTAAGGTATTCTGGAACCTTTCAAAGAAAATATTTAACACATCAATAGCAAAAGGATTCCTCACATTACTCAAAAATGTTTTCCTCATAAAATTAAAAAAGACAGAAAAGAACACATTCAAGCCAGATATTAGTAGACTACTGGGGCTGGACAGGGTGGGAGGGTATGGGAGGGGCAACTGGGAGGTTGAAAGTCACTTCGAGACTTAGGGTGCAGGTTGCACTCACTGTTGTTCCTTGCTTACTACAAAGTGTTGGGGAGACTGTGTATACCCCCAGGCCTACAATAGGTGAACTACCAGTAGTATCTGGGTGGGAAGCTCAGAACCTACTAGCAACCTGGCAACCACACATAAAGCTCTCGGAGGGGACACCTCCTTGTGGTCACAAAGATCACAAAGTACACTTCAGGTGTCTAGGAGTGACAAGAATCAGTGGAGTAGTCTGAGAGCAGTAGCCAAACCCAGATATGACAGGCCAGGGATCATCCTGTGAGCAGCAGAAGATTCTTGAGTGGCTGTCCCCAGAACTGTGCTCCAGTAGCTAAGAAGCTGGTTATCAGGGCTGGGGTGATATTGCTATTACATATGCCTTTCCACATATATTTTTTGGGGGAATTTTTTCCCCAATAACTTGCATAGATGAGAAATTGATAAGATTTTTATCTTTTACATTTAGGATTTATTCTTTATCCCCTTGCATAAACATGAGCTCCTTTGCTACTTCAGAAACTACCTGTAGCAGTGGGCAAAAAATAGCTCCTAAGGGAAAGAAGTTAACTTCTTTCTATATCATAAGCAGTTCATGCCTGCGTATTTCAGAAGATTAATAGATGTATTTGGAAAGATACGCAGTCCCTATGAGTGACACTCCAAGGGGCAGAAAGAGGCAAAATGCAATCAGCTGTGTGTCTTACCTCCCTGTCCTGCATCAGCCTCTGGCCTTCTGCAGCGTACAGACAGTTAGTCTCGTCCAAGAACTTGAGTTCAAATGAATCTTTGTAAACCTAGGGAATGAGCAGTTAAGAGGAACCAGCCGTTTCAAGCAATAAGGACCCCCACTTTCTGAAGCAGCAGGCTGCAGCCCATGGTCACCATGTGTCAATGTTCTCTGGGGTATACTCCTACCAGGTGGAGGCCCATATCTGCTCTCAACTAGCCTTTGTCTTCTGTATGTGCTATTTCTTCACAGTTGGTCATCTGATTTTACCTTTGTTTATGACATATTTTCCATGAAAAACTAGCATTTTATACAGACATGCTTACCATTTTTTTCTTTTGTGGCTCTTCATGCAGTGTTAGCTGGAGTCCTTCCTTCCACAGGGATGAAATAATCTCCCATGTTTTCAACTAATACTTATGATCTTTTTCCTGCTTATATCTTGGATGCATGCATAGGGGAAGGTGGCCATTACACACTCAAGACCAAGGCCTCACCTGGAGATCCGAGAGCATGCTTAGTAAACTCCGAAGCAGGCTCCTATCCACCGCCTCACCACTTCGCTCACGCTCAATCAGCAGCAGGATCCCATCAATGGTTTTACTCTGAACCATCCTGTCACTGATGATGTGGTTCCTAAATAGCTCTAGGCCCATGTCCCTGTCAGATAGTGCAAATAGAACAAGGTTTTACCCTTTGAAGCTCCAGAAGCTTCAACTGTGCTACACATACCAGTCAGAAAGTGCTACTTGCTACTTACACTCAGGGCTTGAAAAGTTCTTTAACAAATGCTTGTTTACAAATCCAGTCCAGGATGCCTTATGTCTCTACCTTAAATGAGGCTATTTTCCTGGATAGTCAAGTTTTGATTGTTCCAAGTACTGAGCTGTCCAACATCACACAGACACCCAACAATCAAATCACTATTCTGTGAATCTGTTGGCTTCAACCCATTATGTACTACTCTTCTTGGGTGAGTTGTACAGGTGTCAATGCTATGGGATCCACCACTATACCTACTCCTGTACCCTCTGGGTCCTTACTTTTTCTAATGTTTCCAGCAACTCACTCTCTAGTATTTGGTTGTTTCTACAAAGGGCAGATCTAAAATAATTGCAAGTTAATCCTGCTTCCTTGGACTGTAAATGTCTTGGAATCTGGGGGAGGACATTCACTTTGCCAGAGCAATCATCCACAAACCCTGTCTGATAATGGGCTCTGTGCAGTATACACAACACTTAACAGTCAGATGTTCACCAGAGAGAGCAGGGGGCTATGCCAGGCCAGATGGGATACTCACCAGATAGAAGGCAGCATGGAATTCTGAAGGACATAGGTGCGGTCCAGAAATAAGAAGATGCTCCTGATCATGATCTAAAGACCAGACAGGAGCAGTATTCATTCATTCATTCATTCATTTACATTAGCTGCTTGGGATGAGACTTTCTAGAAGAGCCTATGCTAGTTGTCTCGAATTGTAACAATCCTTTTTTTTTGGTCTTTTTGAGACAGGGTCTCCCTGTAGCACCAGCTGTCCTGGAACTCATTAGGTAGACCAGGCTGGCCTTGAACTCACAAGAGATCCGCCTGCCTCTGCCTCCCGACTGCTGGGATTAAAGGCGTGCGCCACCATGCCTGGCACAATCCTTTCTTTTTAAGAATTTTTTAATTTTTATTTTATGTATTGCTTGCATGTATGTAAGTGCAACTGTATCATGCAAGACCATAGAAGGACAGAAGAGGCTGTCGGATCCCCTGGAACTGGAGTTACAGACAGTTGTTAGCTGCCATGTGGGTGCTGGGATTCAAACCTTGGTCTTCTGCAAGAATAGCTCTTAACCAATGAGCCATCTTTCCAGCCCCGTAACAATTATAACCATTTCTTGATAGAAAAGAGCCCACAAATCAACTCTAATTTTTCTAAATTTAACTTTTCCTCCTGGTATTTTTCATCTCTTGAATTACCCAGACAGTAGAGACCGTCAAGCATTCAACCTCAAGAAATTTAGTCATCTCCTGACTGATACTGTGACTTAGCTTTTAGACAAGCAAGAGCTAAACTCTCTCTCACTCTGTGTTTTGAAAAAGGGTCTCATGCAGCCCACACTGGCTTTGAACTCCTGATCCTCCTGCCTTTATTTTATTTCTTAAATGCTGGGATTACAGACATACCACCACGCCCAGTTTAAATATTCTAAAATATAGGAGTTGCTATACTATATTGAGGCTCCTGGGATCAAGAGTAAGCTGAACCCTTGTTATGAGGAGAATAAAAAGCAGGACAGTAAGTTGCCCTCTAATTTTGCTGCTGCAGCTCTGCATTATCACCTGGAACTGATTTTACTTTGTGGTGAGACTGTTAACATGTGAACACACCTTCCCCAGTGGACATTCTTTTTTTTTCATACCCACTAAGCATGTAGCTCAAAACAGACCTTCACTGCCCATCACTTGACTGACTCTTTTAGAAATCAAGCACTTAAACCAGTCATGGTGGTGCACACCTTTAATCCCAGCACTCAGAGGCAGAGGCAGAGGCAGGTGGATCTCTGTGAGTTCAAAGCCAGGCTGGTCTACATAGTGAGCAGCTGGACCCTGTCAAGACCAAAAAAAAAAAAAAGAAAGAAATCAAGCATTCAGTCTACTTCTCAGCCTACTTGTAGAAACTACATATACTATCTTTTCTCTCACTTAAATCATTAACATCCAGGCCACACTAAAAACTTACATGTGTAAAATTGAATTAGATTACACTCATCTACAATCTAAGGCTTTGTCATCTTGGTGTAGTAAAAAAGGCAAATCGCAGTTGGGGAGGCATTTGGAAGAGACTCCTTTGGGAAGTTAGGGAGATTCTACATGCACATACCAACTGCTGATCTAGAGGTAGAGCTTGTTAGTACCCTCTCCTGGAAAAGACTGTCTGAGTAGCTTTACCTCCCCATTCTATTCTGCTACTCAGTTGTGCTGGATGTGTGAATAGGACATTCCGATGCATCCCTGCTCCCAACACCTTCAAGAATAACTTCCACATCTCAGTTCAAGATCTGCCCAGGACTTAACTTGGTGGAAAGGCAGGTAAGTAAATGTGGCTATATAGGTTATGGAGGACATGTCCCTCATCACTCCACTCATCTTCATTCTGCCCAGAGCAGAGGCTAAGCAAGGCCAAAGTACAAGTAGGGGAACATAAATGAGCCAAAGCAGGTGGTAACAGCAGTATTGCTAGAGCATCAGGGCCGATAAAGAAATGTGAGCTTACCATTTGTCTGCAGTGATCTTGCCAGCATGTGTTAATCTTCTTTAGAAATAAAACGCTGTCTAGTGAGTCTGTGCAGACCTGCTAAGGAAACTTCAGACACATCAGTCTATTCTACTGTTGCAACTTTCACCTTAATCTCAGCACCCTTCCCTATTGATGTTCTCTAGTGATGAACCACCGAAAGGCCGTACCATAGTCTGGATGCTTGTGTCCCTCCAAATTTACATACTGAAACCCTAATCCAGTGACAGTACCAGGAGGTATAAAAAAGGCCCCAAGAGAGCTGTCTCACCCTATCTACAAACCAGGAATCCCTCACCAGATGAAGTCTACTGGTGCCTTGATCTATAGCCTCCAGACTGTAAAGAGTAAACACCTGTGGTTTATATGCTACCAGTCTACAAATGGGCTGGCAGAGGCCTGCAGCTCCCAAACCACAAGTGTAGATTACTAAGATTCCCCCACCTCATTTTCTATTTGTACTAATCTACCCCATCTCAGCTCTATTTCTCCTGTTTCTATTTGGCTTCCCTTGTCTTCTCTTTCACTTCCTGTCAGCTTACATAAGCACTCATGCCCAAGAACTGCATCTGGTGGCAGAACTTCACCCCACTGAGGGCCTAACTGAACATAACCCCACAATGGAGCTCCTAGAGCTGCTGTCTGGTAAGTCCAGGGTATCCCAGTCAAAAAAAAAAGTATTAATAGTGCCAAGAAACTGGCAGCTGAGAGTGGTAGAGGCTTACCTTCGACTCTCAGCACAGTAAAAAAAAGTTCTTACAATACTAACACAAAGTTGCATTCATGACCAAATTATGCACTCAGACACATACACACACACTGTGGCTTTGTTGTTTTCTGTTTGTGGGTATATGATAGTCTCATTATAGAAAGGCTAGCCTTAAACTCATAGCACTATTTCTTCCTCAGTCTCCTAAGTGTTGGGATTTTATGTATGAGTCACCACACCAGCTTACATTTGTTTTTGAGGCAGGGTCTTGATATAGAGCCTAGGCTGGTATTGAACTTGAGATCCTCCTGCCTCAGCCTCCTCAGTGCTAAGATTACACATATGTGCTACAACACTCAGCACAGGATATACTTTTTTTAAATGTGCAAAATATAGTTTTAGGATAAAGACACACATAATATGGGTTCTCAGAAAGGACCTTCCCTTCTGTTCTCATTTGCTCTTCCAGCTTCCTGAGAGTAAGTGGTCCATGTAAATGGAAAGTGCCCCAAGTCCTAGGCTTTGGTCCTGTCTGCCACTTACTAACATGTGACACCAGCCATATCAGTAAGTTCAAGTGCAGTAGGCTACCCACATTCTGCTCATCTGAGGAAACACAGCACACCCAGATGGAAGAGAAACTTGGACAAGTACACCATACCCAGGCCAGACAGGTGCCAGGCCTTCAGTCAAATGTGGCTGACTGGGGCAGGTGATGCTGGCCCAGTTTTGGAAGAAAGGTATTCAGGGAAATAGGGACTATAAGCTCATCTGTCCTGGTCTGAGTAGTGAGGGAAGATGGCCTTAAACCACAGCAGCCCAGACAAAGCAGCCTTTCTTTCTTCCTAAGTCTTAGGAAGCATGTTCCCAAGTTTAGAGAATCACAGTAAAGGCCTATCAGTTCAATGGTTATCACATTACCCTGGGAGAATGCTTCCCCAATGGTAAAGTATGCAGGCCCACTGTAAAAGTCAACCATAAGGACATTCAAGTAGGTTGTGAAGTGCCACTCCACTGGCAGCCTGGCAGCCCCGACTCTGAGCTCCAAATAAAAGCTATCAGCCTCATAATGGAGATCTGGTAGGTTCCCAGTGAGTCCACATTGGCCTGTCTGAGCTATGTGATAATGGGCTTGCATTAAGTTTAAAATGGAGTTAAACTGACACCAGTCCATCTGAGGCCACCAGGCAGCTCAGGTGACACCCATAACCACACAAGAGATGTACCTCGTCTAGTATCTCTTAAAATGCAAGGGTCCAGGAGATGGGGAGATGGCTCAGCGGTTAAGGGCACTGACTGCTCTTGCAGAGGACCCGGGTTCGAGTCCCAGCATTCACATGGCGGCTATGAACCGTCCTTAACTCCAGTTCCAGGGGAATCCAAAGCCCTCTTTTGACCTCCGTGGTATTGCACAACACAGGTGCACTCACTCACATGCAGGCAATACACTCATACACAATAAAAATTTTTTTTTTTAAAAAATGCAAGGGTCCAATGTCAGTGTTCTTTCAAAGGGTTCTGTGAAGTAATGCAGGTATCCAAATCAATAATTTCTTTTGCTATTTCCCATGGAAAAAAGTACAAAACAGTAAACTAATATCATGAGTGTGGTGGTGTTTATTAAACTTCAGTCAATTCCAGGATCCAAGACTTAAGGTGTCACCATGGTGCCACAGTAATCCTAGGCAGTGAGATGCACAGGTGCCAAAGGGCCTGTTATGGCTTATGCTGAGGAAAGTTCCTAAAAGGCATTCTTGTCTCACTTCAAAGAAAGACCAACGCTGAAAAGGATTCACACCATCCATGAAGTGAGGTAGGCCCTTCACTAGGCAACAAAAATCCAACAGCAAGAATACTTATGGTAGGTAGACTATGAAAAAACTGCCAATCACAAAGCTGATTTCTAAAAAGAAAGCAAAAATATATCGTATATATCAGGCTGGAAGAGTGGCAGGTCAGTGACCCATACTCTAGAGGGTGTGCACTGCTATCCACTGTGCTGTCCTGAAGGGCCCAGGTGCAGCACTTATTCTGAATCATTGGCTACTCAATTTCAACATATCAACCAGGTACTCTTGCTATGGTGGCTGAGAAAATTATATAACATTGGTTTGCTTGGGGATTATTTAATTACCATTCTCCTTATTAGTCAAATGGCCTACAAAGCCCTTAACACAACCTATTTCTTTTCTAGAAGACACAGCTGATAGGCTGAGCTGTAGTGACATGTAAATTGAGTCACCAACAGCTTGATTGCTGACAGCAAGATCTCTGTACATGCTGTTCCCACATCTAGTCCAAAGCATACAGGCACAGTAGTTCCATGAAGAACCCAGCCCATCAACCAGCCCTGTGGATGATGCAGTCACAGACAGAGATGTCTGTGAGCATCCCCATGGCTGATCTCCTGCAGGGCAGTAGCAGTGTTCTCCTGTACAACCTCCTTTTCAGATGGCCAGGTTGCAGCATTTTTGCCAAGTAGAGTCACAATGGAAGAAGTAGTTAGGGATACAGGAACCTTTCACCTATTACTTACTTAGATTCTTGGGACAGTTGGCAAGACATCTTTGAAGAACCTATGCCACCCAATCTGGTCAAGAAGGCATGGTTCTGAATCATGTGGTACCCAGTTAGGTAGAACCAGCTTCTGTCTGGGCAATCATATGCATAGCCCGCCCCTCCCCCGGGTCTTGGGAAAGGGCATCACTAATAGGTGACCTATCTAAAAGGGGCAGGATTTAGTAGTGACTTGAATAGGAGGCCAGGAAATGCTGCTAAGAAAGCAGGAGTCCTTTCCCACTTGGCATGCCCTGCTTTGTGGCCCACTGGCCAAAATATTAGCACATTCTCAAGAAATAGTAGGCAGGGGCTGAGATGGCTCAGTAGGCAAAGTGACTGCTGCATGCACCTGCAATCCTAGTGTAGGCAGAGACAGGAGGGATACCAGTGGCTCACTGGATAGTCAGTCTAGCCAATTAGTGAACTTCAGCTTCAGTGAAAGACCTACTATAAAAAATAAGGTGAAAGCCAGACGTGATGGCTCATGCCTTTAGTCCTAGCATTCAGAGGCAGAGGCACATGGCTCTCTCTGAGAGATCAAGGCCAGCCTGGTCTACATAGTGAGTTCCAGGCCAGCTGGGACTACAGGAAGACCCTGTCTTAAAAAAATAAAAAATAAAAAAATAAAAAAAAAATAAGATGGAGAGCAATAGAGGAAGACAGTGTTAATCTCCAGCCTTGATATGTACATGCATAGGCATACATTACATCATATACACATACACAAAAAACAGCAGGCATGGGGCTGGAGAGATGGCTCAGTGGTTAAGTGCACTGACTGCTATTGCAGAGAACCTGGGGTCGATTCCCAGCATGCACATGTTGGAACCATCTATAACTCCAGTTTCAGGGGATCTGATGTCCCCTTCTGACCTCTGCAGGCACTGCAAAGCACAGGAACACTTACATAATGCAGGCAATATACTCATACACATAAAAATAATAAAATACTAAAAAAAAAGATGTAGTGGGCAGAATCTCTTACACTTAGAAGGTAAGTTGCACAAAGGCCTGGAGCACTCCAGAGGCAAAAGAAATGGGAGCATGTTTGCCTTGGAGGAGTCCTTGCCAAGAGCTATCTGGGTACCTGTAATCACATTAAGCAAGAAGCATAGGCTGCTAATGCTCCTGTCAGTATACAGTGTTGACACAAAAGTTTACCCAACATTCAGGTGTATGTCCTTAAGCCAAGGCCTTCCTCACAGTAACTTTGCTGTCCTGCCTTGTAGACCTCCTGGCCTACATCTACCGGCCCCAGCCTGGCCACCCTCCATTCATACACAATGGCTCCTTGTGATGTTGCTATGTTCACTGCTGGCCTGCCATGCTTTAGCTTGCCTGGCTGAGTCTACCCAACCCCTCCCATTTCTCTTTCCTTTCTGAGTTGTTACTTCTCTTGGATACCTCCTTGCCCCCATGCACCAGGATGTCACTTCCACTAGTGATCTTGATGTTTAGGTCCTGCCTTGTAAATACTTCACCAGAGCACACATCATTTGGCATGCTTCCTCAAAAACAAGACTATTCTACCACCTAAATGACCTCAGCTACATCTCCACCACAGATAAACCCCAAACTCTTCAGTACACAGGTCAGCTTCCCTTCTTTGGTTTTCTCTTTCTGGAAGCCTATGGAAACAACTGCCAACTCCTGCCCAGTGTGCTCTTCCCAACCTGTCTCCATGTTTCTGCACAGACTGCCCAACAGTTACCATCTCCTCACTGGTCTTTTTGGCCCCCTGGCACGTCCCTCTTCAGGCAGATGGGTTGCCCTTTATGCCCAGGGGCACTTGTGGCCTTTTCCCCATTAGAGGAAACCTCTAAGCTACTCACAATGATTTTTTCCAGGGGTCTAGTGTGATGCCTGGCACATGACAATTACTTTGGAAGCAGGCCTGCATGCTGGCCAGGGTTCTAGGCCATTTCATCATTCTGCCAAAATGATTTTCACAACAATTAATTCTATTGGACTCTTGCTTAGAAACCTGTAAGGAATCTAAGTAACCTATACAGTTTAACTTTCAACTTCTTGATGGCATATGAAGAATTAAGTCTAATCTTCAACCTGGACTGCACATCAAACCGTTCACAGTTCTCAGGAATAATACGTATTCCCCCTTGTTCACTCTATCTGGCCAGAAGTCCCAATTCAGCAACATGCCCCACTGGAGCTTTGCCTGGTTCTTGTCCTGCTGCTGTTAGCCTAACTTATCTGAATTCAGGATGCCTTGTCACTAAAGACAATTCGTTAGTGCCTTTCTCTGCCTGTTAAATCATGACTTGTAATCCTGGTTTGCCAAAAAATAAAGAAACCGCTTAAAGCCAGGCACGGTGGTGCATGCCTTTAATCCCAGCACCCAGGAGGCAGAGGCAGGCAGATCTCTGAAATGTTCAAGGCCAGCCTGTCTCCATAGTGAATCTAGGCCAGCTGTGGCTACAGAGAAACCCTGTCTCAAAGACGCCCCCCCCAAAGAAACAGCTTAACTCCCCAGTTCTATCCTGGGGCTCTGACTTCTTGGAGGGTAGAAATTAGGCAGCAGTTACTTTTTTGTCATCTAGGACCAAGACACTGGGCAGGAAGTAAAGGCTTGCTGAATGAGTGAACACTATGGTCAACCCACAGAATGGGATTAACTGGCAGGAGGCCAGTTAGAGCAGGTGATTTTCCAGCAAAGTGGATCTAGAGCAAATAATACAAGCTGAGTCTGATGGATATTGGCATTCTGGAACACTGTTGATGACCTTCTCAGGTTGCTCGAAGTCTAGATGTCAGGCTTCTGCAGTACAAATACCTCAAATACCTGTTTTTTTTGTTTGATACAGGGTCTCTCTGTAGCACCAACAGGCCTGGAACTTGCTCTGTGGACCAGGCTGGCCTCATTCTCACAAAGATTGCCTGCCTCTGCCTGCCAAGTGCTAGAATTAAAGACGTGAGCCGCCACGCCCAGTAATATACATATCTGGTACAGAAATCCCGGAATGGGGCAGACTCCATATACCTCACAGGTGTTTCCTGAGATAAAAGGTATGCTGGCAGGTTTCACCAGGGTATGTGGTCACCATTATCTTACACAATCTTTCAGTGATTAAGACAAAATGTTTGCCAGAGAATATCATAGAGGTATCCTGATAGAAGCCCATGTGGCAGAACTGGAAGTGACTTCTGTGGGAAGCCAGCAGGTTTTGTGGAGGCATTTCACCTGGACTGTCAGGGCTTTGATGTCCAGCAACACAGATTACTGCCATCTGCAACAAGAGGTTCAGTATACCTGGCAGGGTCAAGTTTCCTGAAATGAGAGCCATAGGGAGAAAAAGGATTTCCTGAGCCAGAAAAAAAATAGGCAGGTTCTGGGCCTTGTTTTATACTTAAAGGCATGGGGCCAGACAAGTAGTTGCCATGAATTTTCCACACAACGGAGTCTGCATCCTAATACTGGCCAGGTTATATAGATGTCTTTGTGGGCATGGGTCACAGCAAACCCTAAAATGTCCTCTGCCTAGGCCTGCATAGAGTACATGCTAAAGTAACTCCCTTCTTTAACTGAAAACCATAGCACCACTCCTCTGGTTGGTTCTGTCCTACAAGGTACAGTCTCAGACCAGATAAGCAAGTTCTTTTGCCTACCTAGAACATTGTACAAGCCACCAGGAGAAACTGGATGCAGTACTCAGGGCTGAGCCAGACATACCACAGCCACAGGGGAAGTAGCAACCTTGTTCCTAACGCTCCCTATCTGTGAGAGCAAGAAAGATCCACCCTCAGGTGACAAAGCCTTACTGACATCCTGACTTGGGCCTGTGAGACCCCGAGGAGAGAAGCCCCAATTCCTGACAGACACACCCTGAAAGAATAAGTGGGAATTTGTCACATTCTAGAAAACGAATACAGATTTTTACAGATTTTTAAAAAATTGTTATTAAGGGAAAGAACATAGTTTTAAGGCATTTTTAGAACTTCTAAATATTTCAGGCAGATGCAGTAAGTGGAGGCTGCTTACCTTTTACTCATGTCAGTAATTTAAATGTCACAAATTTCACTAAAAATACGATTATAAAACTTAAGCCCTTTGTTCTATAAAAAAGATCATTTAAAACCTGTTGTTCTACTATTAAGAATATTCAATAGTTCTTTATCCCACTTTTTAAAAAGTTGGGTAATAGAAACTTCATGAGGCAAAAAAAAAGGATATTCTCTGAATGGAAGGATCTGGGCTTGGACGTGGTCTTCACAGACCTGGCGCAGCTGCTTGTAGAGCGTCGGGGAGACTTTGTGAGAACAAAGATTTTCAACAGCCTACAACAAAGGAACAGGTTGATTGTTCAGCATAAATGTCAAAGTTCTTTGAAAACCCTATAAGGATGATGCCCCACAGTACTTCAGTTACCTACAAGCAACCCCAGAACCATGGGTACTTAGGGTACTTGTGCTGGGCACAGTAATGGCTAGGCATGATGATGGCAGTGGTTATCAATAAGGGGCTCAGACTGACAGTATGCTTTGCTTACCATCCCTGGGATTTCAAGAGTCTGGCACCTCAAGTCCTCCAGCTTTGTCCCTAGTTCAGTGGTCTCTACACCAGGATGCACACCAGTTCCAGGACTCTAAAGCAGGTTTGGATCCTGTGGCCACACATTTATCCTACAATAACTATATGAAATCAGGGTAATGATGCCTTTTGATGTATGAAGACCTGACTCAAGCTTACGACAGTGTGCTTTAAAACTGTGTCTGTGGCTATGGGTATTTTTAGAAGTCACCCTAGAAAAGCAAGATTTAAGTTCATGATTCAAGGTAAGATATGGCAGTCTTTGGGTTCTGCTTGTATGAGGTCACAGCTGTTCCTCCTATCAATTCAGACCTGGGAAAACATTGCTCATTATGTCCCCAACGAACGGTCATTCCTCACAGCACGGTTGCTGTGACCAGTAGGCTGTGCCAGGGACATAGCACTGAGTGCTGACAAGCCTGAGCTGTGGTACTGAATGCTATCTATTTGCTCTCTCAAATGTCACATGAGTGTATTCACTGCTACTGAAACAAAATGCTTCCTGTGGCCTTGAGCAGTCACCCCTCAGGTGCAGAGCATCAAATGAAGTAAGGAACTGCAGGCAGTTGTGGGTCAGGAGTCTGCTGGTATTCATTAAATTCAGATTCATGCAGAGATCCTTGAGCTAGAGCTAAGGTCACAGAAAACAGGAGCAAGTTACTGCAGACTGAATCACTGATTTCACTGATATGAGTGAAGAAGAAACACAAAGGCAGACAAGCCCGAATTGCCTGGCAAACCCTCAGGAAACCACCACACACACCTGGATACACTTGGGCTCAGTCACTATGACAAGAGACATGCTGGTATGGCAGGGAGGGGTGAGACATGCTGCCCAAACCCAGCAGGTCAGTATTAGTGGCATTTCCTGTAGCAGTGATGGCCTGGGCTCATCATTTACATCTGGAAAGGCCATCCTACCCTACAGAGATGGATGCCAACACTCTAGGTGCCCACCTGGAAGAAATAAGTAAATGGCAATGCAGAAATGCAGTCAGGACTCAAATCTGAGGAACAGAAAGCTCAGAAGTCTTCCAGGAACCACATCTAGAACTGTCTTCCCCATTTCAATCTTGACTCCCAGGGAGAGAGGTTCTGAATGTATTGAACTGTTGAATATGCAGACTGCTAAACTAGGGCCATTTCTGGTGGGCCAGGCATGTCAGGGAAGGTATACTCTCTGCTTCAGTACTATTTACTCTCCACTAATGTGTGACTTCCTCAAACTGGTTGTAAAGCAATGCTGATCTGTCTACCATTTCCTGGACTTTTCCACATGTTTTAGCAATCCTATTGTCATGTTCCACAACCAACCGTACTGCTTTCACCTTCACTTACATGACCCACAGGTTTTGAACCTTTCAGAACCCTCTGTGAATGCACTCTAGTGTACAACCAGGCTCTCTCTGGAGCCCAGGTCCCTCTGAGGAGTTTGTTCTCAGATTGAGCCCAATATGGGGCCTTCCTCTAATGGCTGTTACAAACACAACCAGAGCTACCATTATCCACTAGGGTGACTAGAGGACAAAACACAAGGACACCAATCACAGGTGTACTTTCTTCTATGAGTAGTTTACACTTAGGTCTTCAGAGGCAAACAGAAAAGATTTGTACTTTCAAAACATACCCTTCTCTCCTGTGAGCTAGGGCTGTGGTCCTGTCCCGTGAGCCTGAGTTGTGGGTCCCCTTGCATGAGCTGGAGCTGAGGCCCCCCTCCTGTCAACCTAGAGTTGTGATCCCCTCCTGTCAACCTAGAGTTGTGATCCCCTCCTGTGAGCTGGAGTTGTGGTCCCCTCGCATGAACTTGGAGCTGTGGACCCCTCACCTGAGTCTGAAGCTTTGGTCCCCTATCATGAGCTACAGTTCCATAGCCCTTGGCTGATGGTCGAGCAGAGTAGAGCATGGAGGATTTTCTGATGTTGGGCGGCAGTTTCAGTCTTCTCTGAGTAACTATATTCCCCACAGCCCTCCCCTGAGGTCCCAGGTTGTGTACTGCAGAGGCTTTGCCTCTATGTTGGGACAAGGAGAGGCCCATCATTTGCAGATTCTGGTCTTGGGAGGACTGATTCTCTGGAACGGACCTCCCATCTTCCCTGAGTCCCAGCTGCAGTCCACACTCCACACGTAGTTCTGGGTACCCAGGCCTTGATGTTGGACTTCTCCCATTACCAGGCACCAAGAGATTGTTCTTAGCCCCAGTATGCCTTCATCTATGGCCTAATTGAACTTGTAGAGATAAAAATCAATCCAGAACCAAGAAGACAGTGTTAGCAGATCAGAAGAATAAAATGGCTATCACAAAGAGTAAGCAGAATTGTGTTCAAAGGGTAAGTAGAATTGCGGAAGCCTTCAAAAAGACTCAACTTAGTTGAGCAATGGTGATGTACACCTTTAACTCCAGCACTTGGGAGGTAGAGGTAGGCAGATCTCTGTGAGATCAAGGCCAGCTTGGTCTATATAACAAGTTCCAGGCCCAGCTGGGCCTACAGGGAGACCCTGTTACAACAAACTAGACCCAAACCATACACCTAGGAAGAAGACAATGTGTAAGGTAAACACACCAGTGGCAACAATAGCAGATGAGACAGGGCTGAGGATTACAAACCCTGAAGAGGCCTGATAGTCCTAGGGGGATTTGGGACACTCATTATGCATTTAAAACCTTTCCATGAAGAAAGGCAAGATGGTCTATGAATTTCCCTCAAAGATTTAAGGAAGAAACAGCATCAATTCTACACAAGGAGAGAGAATACTTTCCAATTCATGAGGCCAGCACTACTTTGACACTCAGACTAGGAAAAGACATAAGGATACATAAAGCAAAAATTAACAAAATGTTAACAAACTGAACCCAATACTTAAAAAGATGATGTATTAGAAAAAAGTAATGGGGAGATATGGGAGGAGTTGGAGGGGAGTGGGCATGGATTTGATCAAAACACTTTACATGCTTATATCCCTGTATGAAATTCTCAATAAATTATTTTTTTTTAAAAAGTTAATGTCTTACAACCAAGTAGTAAGATTTAGCCCAAGCATGCAAGAGTGTCTCTACATTTGAGGGGGAAAAAAAAAATCAAAGAACATAATTGACAAACTAAGGAACAAACCCCACATAATCCCTCAACAGATGCAGAAAACATGCTTTCATCAAACTAATAACAGAAAAGGCCTTCCTCTAAGATGGCATCATATGCAACAGTGGCAAGATGAAAGGTCCCTGAGACCAGGAACAAGACACGTGGCCCTCTTTTTTACTTCTACTAGCCCTTGTCCCCGGGAAACGAATAATAAGTACACAATTTGGAAAGGAAAATGTGGAACAATTTCTAGTCACACATGATTGAGCAGAACACCCAATGGGACCTATGGAAATTCTAGAAACTCAAAAGTTTGGCAAGTTAGAACAATTTCAATATATAAAAATCAACAGTATTTCTATATAAAAATCAGAATTTAAAATAGCACTTACTATAAAAATATGAAATTAGGGAAAGTTTTCACAAAAGATGCGCAAAACCTGTACCTAAAACAAGAAAGCACTGCTGAGTGGGAAAAAAAAGACCCAATACAGAGCTATCCCAAAGGCTGAGTCAGTTCTCACCAAATGGCCTATAAAGATTTATCATAATCTTAACCAAAACCTCAGCTGGCTTTCTGGAAGCTAGAAAACAGATTCTAATTCATATGGAAAAACAAACAGCCAGGAATAGCTGAAACAACTTTGAAAAAGCACAAAGCTGGAGGCCAACCCTTCCTGACTTAACTAGTTACATCCACTCCTAGATGGACAGTTGGTCTTGTCTTTGAGAAAGGCAGTGTGGGTGGGGTTTCAACAAATGGTGCCCAACTGGATACTTATAGGGAAAATACTGCATCTGGATTTATGTCTCATAATATACTCAAAAGTCCACTCAACATAGATCACAGACCTAAGTGTAAACATTATGACTCTAAATGCCTGCATGGAAATATGAGAAAACCTTTGTGATCTTAGATAGGGTCTTTTTTTGATGTTTTTTGTTTTGTTTTGTTTTGAGACAGGGTCTCCCTGTAGCCCCAGCTGGCCTAGAACTCACTATGTAGACCAGGCTGGCCTTGAACTCACAGAGATCCGCCTGCCTCTACCTCCCAAGTGCTGGGACTACAGGCATGCACCACCACGCCTAGCTGGTGTTTTTTTTTTTTTCTGTTTGTTTTTGTTTTTTAAATTGTTTTTATTTTATGTGTATATGTGCAATGCCCTAGGAGGACAGAAGGGGCTGTTGGATCCCCTGGAACTGGAGTTATGGACAGTTGTTAGCTACCATGTGGGTGCTGGGATTTGAACCTGGGTCTTCTGCAAGAACAGCCAGTGTTCTTAACCGCTGAGACATCTCTCCAGCCCCTGTGTTTTTGTTTTTTTGAGACTGAGTCTCATGTAGTTCAAGCTGGTCTCATGTAGCCAGCTAAGCTGGCAATGTAGAAGAGGTGGGGTTTGAACTCCTGATCTTCCTACCTCTGTGTGTGCCACTATACTCAGCTAAGGCAAAGGATTTTTTTAGGTAGATACTAAAAACACACTCTAAAAAAACAGCTGATACATTGGACTTCAAAATTTAAAACGATTGTTTGTCAAAGGACATAGATGAATTAAAGGATATGCTACAGATTAGAAGTATTTCCAAGGCAATATAGAACTCGTATTTAGAATACACATTAAACTCACAAATTCAATAATGGGAAAACCTAATAAAATGAGGCTGGGTGTAGTGGCTCATGTTTATAATCCTAGCACTTAGGAAGCTGAGACAGGTGGATTGCAAGTTTGCAGCCAGCCTGGGCTACATAGTGAAACAAAAGGGGGAGGGGACGAAGAGAAAAGGGAAGGCACACTGGCCAACAGGCAGGCAAGCAAAAGATCTGAATAGTCACTTCCTCAAAGAGGATACATAGAATGGCAATAAACATATGAAAAGATCCCTAATAGTGTAGGTAGTACAAATTGAACCACAATGGGAAACTGACACCATCAAATGTTGGTGAGAATGTGAAGCAACTGGAACTCATACTGCTGGTAGAGATGCAAAATGGTATAGCCTCTGAAAAATAGCAAGTTTCTTATAAAATTAAGCAAACACTTTCCATGACCTAGAGAACTTGCTTATAGATATTTTCTTGAGAGAAATGAGAATACATGACCACACAAGACTTACTGATGTTCACAGCAGCTTTATGGGCAATATTCCCCACTGACACCCAACTGTCCCCACTGTCCACTGTCTGACAAATAAACCAATTGTGGTATATCCACACTACTCATTAATTAAAAAAAAAAATCAAACTGTTAGCAGTGTGTATCACAAAAGCACTATCCTAAGTAAAAGCCAAACACAAAAGATGGCAAAAATGCATGATTTCATTAAGATGAAATTTAGAAATGGCAAACACAATGACTGAAAGCCAGCCAGTGACTGTCAAGGGTATGGGATGACTGCACAGAGCTAGGGGCCTTTGTGGATGAAAGAAACAGCCTATATTTTCATTATGGAGTTGGCAAAACGCTGTATATTAGACTGTTAAAATTACTGTAATGCCAGGTGTCCTAGTGCAAGCCTGTAATCCCTGTACTTGATAGTCTGAGGCACGAGGATTACCTTGAGTTTGAGCCTATTTGGGCTACATAGTTAAACTGTTTCAAAAAACAAAACCAACCAAAACCCCTCCCATCAAAACCAACCTACCTACTGGAGCACCAGAGCACATGTTATGTATAAATTATACCTCAATAAAGCTAATTTTAAAAAACACAATCAGCTGGCATGGTAGTGCATAATTCAACCACTTGGGAAGTTAAAACAGGAGGATTGCTGCAAGTTCCAGGCCAGGGTAGGATACACAGCAAGTACTAACTCAGCCACGGTTACATAGCAAGACCCTGACAAAAAAAAGGGAGAGGCCTTGGAGAGATGGCTCAGGGTTAAGAGTGCATATTGCTCTTGCAAATGACCTGTGTTTAGTTCCCAGTACCCATATTGGGAGGTTTACAACTGTCTGTAACTCCAGCTCCAAGATTCAATGCCTCAGGCCTCCATGGGCACCTGAACTCATATGCACATACCCACATACAGACACACATCCATATAATTAAAAATAAATCTTGAAGCTGGGCGTGGTGGTGCACACTTTTAATTCCAGCACTGAGGAGAAAGAGGCAGGTAGATCTCTATAGGTTCCAGGCCAGCTGGGGCTACAGGGAGACCCTGTCTCAAAAAGGCCCCTCCCCCAAAAAAATCTTGGGGCTTGGAACTGGAGAGATTGCTCAGTGGTTAAAATCAGTTGTTGTTCTTGCAGAGGACCCAGGTTTGGTTCCCAGCACCCACATGGTGGCTAAGAACTGTTTATAACTCCAGTTCCAGGGAATCTGATGGCCCTCTTCTGGCCTCCATGGGCATGCAGGTGGTGCACTCACATACATGCAGTCAAAACATTCATATACATAAAATAAAAATTCTTTAAAAAAATCCTTTCTCCCAAATACACCATGAACACACAAACTTAAGACAAAGAACAGGTATATGTACACCAATCTGTCACCACAGGTTGGGTGTCCTTTATCCAAAATGCTTGTAACCAGAAGTTCTGGATTTCAGATTTTTTTTTCTGAATTTGAGACTATTTGCATATACATAACTTTTCTTGGAGATGGGATTCAAGTCTAAACATGAAATTCATTCGTGTCTCAAACACCTTGCACACATAGCTTGAAGGCAATTTGTTACTGTGTTCATGATGTGTGTGTGTGTTTGTGTGTGTGTGGTGCTTGTGCCATGGCAAAAATATGGCGTGGGAGAACAACTTTGTGGAGCCAGTTCTCACCTTCTATCTTTACAGGAGTTCTGGGATCGAACTCAGATTGCCAGACCTGCCTGGCAAGTGCGTTATTCACTGAGTAATCTCACTGGCCCTAGCTTGAAGGTAATTTTAGACAACAGTTTTAGCACACTTGTGTTGTGTGTGAGGCCAGTCACATGAGGTCAGGTGTAGATTTTTTTTTTTTCATGTATGCATCCAAAAACTTTTGGACTTTGGAGAATTTTGGATCAGGAATGCTCAATCTGTAATAGTTTACTTTGGGTGGTGGTACTATTGCTTGCTTTATCTTTTTGTATTTCCTTAACTTGTATAATACACTCACTTGTGTAACCAGGAGAAAAATCCAAGACTTTAAATTCAAGACTTCTAGTAGAAATAATTATATGCTCTAAATACCTAAGATATAAATCTTGGACTATTTTAGCGAACATTATTGCATATAATGTACTGGCGCTGTCACACTGCTGCAATTTAGAACCATCAAATCCCTGTTGGCTCTCTGCCCCACACCTCTTCTCAGGTGATGAGAAACTTCCATCTCTTAAGCAGCCTGGCCTAAGCCTCAACACACATGGCACCAATCCGGGGCTGCGATCAACAGACACACCTGCCGACCCCGGAAGGCTCCGGACCCGCAGCCTCCCAGGCGTCCGCGCCAGTTTCACGAGCCACCGGTGGCTGGGGGAGGGGAATACAGCCTGGTGCTCGCGGTCCTCGCCGCCGCTCACCTGGTACAGCTCCTCCAGGTTGTATCTGATGGATGTGCTACTCTGGATGGCCTTGACCGCTTCGTGCAGCTTCCGCCACGTGTCCTGAGTGTAGTTGTCAGGCAGCCGCGGCCTGTCTGTGGGGAGAGAGGGTCAACGGCCGCGCGGGGACAGGACAGGCCGGGGCACAGATCAGGGCCGGCGGGGAGGTGCAGGAGCAGGGCCCGGCAAAGCCATCCAGGCAGTGAGGGATCAGGGCCAGCTGGGGCGCGGGGACGTGGCGGACCGCAAGGTGCAAGGTAAGTCGGGCTGCGGCGCCGAACAGGACCGAGCGGGAGCTGCGGGCCCAAGGCCGGCAGGCGCGGGGACAGGGCCGGCCCGGCGGCCCCAGGAGGCCCTGCCCGAGCGCGCGACCTGACGGCCGCCCTGCCCGCTCCTCAGAGGAGCGCACCCACCTCGGAAGTTCTTGATGACCAGCTTCCTGGAGCCGCCCGCGCCCCCCGGTTTGGCAGGGCCCCCGGCCAACGCTGCGGGTTTGGTGAGGCCGTTGGTGCGGCCCATGAGCGCCGAGACGCTGCCCTTCCGCGGGCCCTCGTCCGCCATGGCTGGGCCGGACGCCGCCCCGCCCCGCGCCACCCGGCTCCTCCTCCTGCCCTGCGCCCGGTCGGTGCGCGCCCGGCTTTTCCTCCGGTCCTGCGCCGGGTCCGTGCGCGCCCCGCTCCTCCTCCTGTCGAGCTCCGCCCGTGAGGACTCGGCTCCTCCTCCTTCTGCTCCCGTCCCGGGGCGCGCGCCGAGGACCAACCGCCGCGACTCTCTCCCGACCACGCGCGCGCGCTCCGCCCAATGAGCGCTCTAGTGTGCTTGCCTGCGCGCACAGCTTTGCGAGGTCCGACACTCAATGCTCGTGAAAGGGCGCCGTGACGCCTCACGTGGAGGACTGGGGACACCCAACGCGGACTTGGGCGTTTTAGGGACCCTGCACCGAGGCCCGGGGGCGCGGACACACCGCCGTCCTTGCTTTGATACACTCAAGTGTCCGGGCCGCTATACCTGGGGCTCAGGAAAACACCGACACTCCGCACTCACCCGTTGCTCCGGGATACCCCAGGGAGGGCATTCGTGGGGGGCTGGGAGTGCGAGGGACTTGGTCCCAAGTGGGGTCGGAACTCCTCATTCTCAGTTGCCCTGGGGGATTGAGCTCCAGGAGCATCCCACAGAGAGGGCTGGGGGACGTGGGTCACCTCCACAGGACAGGATGGGGACATGGGTCGCCCTCACAGCTCGGGACGGGGATGTGGGTCACCCCCACAGGACGGGATGGGGGACGTGGGTCGCCCCCATACAGGACGGGATAGGGGCGTGGGTCACCCCCACACAGGGCGGGCTCGGGGGCGCATTACTCCCACACAGAACGGGACGCGGGTCATCCCCACGCAGGACAGGATGAGGGTGCGGGGTTGGGAGCCCCCATGTTCTTTGTCCTCCGGCGCGTGTCTCCGCTGGGGTCTAGGCGTCCCTGTAGCGTTCGGAACCCTGGACTCGGTCGCGCGCTAGCGTGGAGCGAAAAGCAGAGCGTACGCCATTCGCGCTCCAGACTAAGTTCTCCCGAAGCTCGCCACCGTGGCTCGGCTCGCGCCACCCGTTACGGAACCAAGGTGCGGGGAATGGGTTGCCCGGACTGGGAGCCGAGATGGACCTACGCCGGAAGTCCGGAGCTTGAGATCCGGGGCTGCTACAATGGCGCACATCACCATTAACCAATATCTGCAGCAGGTGGGTTTCGCTCTTCTGGTGGGGGGCTGGTTCTGGGGCCGGGTCAGAGCCGGCAGAGTGGGTTCCCAGCATGCGGCGGGCAGCAGGCCTCGCTCAGAAGCTTCTGGTTGAGTCGCCAGTGCTTCACCCTATTTGGAGCAGAGGAGTATGACCAAGTCGGGGGGTAACAAGGTTGGAGCCCCTTGTAAGAGTCACGGTGTAGTTCTGCCTGTACGACGCACGTCCTGTCTCTTGATAGCAGTGCAAACGAGGGCTTTGCTCATAAGGCCTGCTATCGGCAGAAGCAAGGATAGTGGTGCTTCTGGATTGAGAGTTTGGGTTTTCTCCACTAACAGATAACAAGGAGCCTGTTAGGGTATTGAAAGTCTGCTGAACGTTCTGACTGGTTATACTGCCATTCTTGTCCATTTTTGACTCTTGATCTAGCACTTAGCTTCATCATCAAGGACCCAGGCCCTTCCCACCCTTCTGTTCTGTTACTTGGGCATTTTGGTGACATCTCCCCTCAACCATTGCTTAACTGTAGTGGTTCTCTCTAGAAACAATAGGGGAAGAATGTGTCACACTCCTTTATTCTCTATGGGATAATAAAGATGTTCCCTTTCTTTAGGCGAGGAAAAACACCTTCAGAACCTACCTCCTTCCCATTTAAATATCTCCACACTCAGGAGGCATAGGCAGGTGGATCTTTTTGAGAGTGAGGCCAGCCTGGTCTAAATAGCGAGTTCTAGGCCAGCTGAGGTTACAGGTACACTGTGTCTCAAAAAGAAATCGCTCATTATTTCTTTCCTCCCTTCCTCCCTCCTTCCTTCAGACAAGGGCTCCCTGTAGCCCCAGGTGGAACTCACTATGTAGACCAGGCTCACCTTGAACTCACAGAGAGCCACCCAACTCTTCTTCCTGAGGACTGGGATAAAGGTGTGGTGGCCTATACACTATATACCCAGCCTATATACTCTTTCTTAAAAAACCTTTATGGAACAGGCATGGTGGCCCTTGCCTTTAATCTCAGCGGCAAGGCCAATGAGATTGAGGCCAGCCTGGTCCACCTAGGGACTTCCAGGTGAACCGGGACTAGGGAGATCCTGTGAAAACAAAAACCCATTATGGATTATTTGGTTTTTTAAAAAAATATTATTTTAATTTTATGTGTATGAGTGTATTGCCTGATGTATGTAAGTGCACCTATGTTCTGTAGTACCGGCGGAGGTTACAAGAGGGTGTCGGATTCCCTGGAACTGGAGTTATAGACAGTTGTTAGCCATCACGATTGTGGGTGGTGGGATTTGAACCCCTTTTCTCTGAAAGAGCAGTCAGTGCTCTTAACCACTGAGCCATCTCTCCAGCCCCATTATGGATTATTTGTTATTCTTTTTGAAGCTCAGAATTTCTCCAACCCTCAGCTGTTTTCTGTGGCACTCAACATTTTCCTCATCCTTTCTGACTTTTCTGAAGCCGTATGTCTTTTCACCCAGCCCTGGAGTTAACCCTTTCTTGAGGAGTGGAATTTAGAAAATAATCTGATACGAAGTGTGCTTGTTGCTCTGGGATTTCAGTGGACAAAAAGAACGTGTACAGTTTTAAGGAACTGAGAGTTCCAAGAGCAGATGGTGCCCCCATGGGCTGGTCTGGAGGACCTAAGGTGAGCTGCAGCTAGGAGAGATGCCTCTCAGCTCTCCTGAAGCAGAGTATCCCCTGAGCCAAGGGTATTGTGCATAGGTGCTTGTTTGGAGTGTCACTTCATGGCCCATTTAGCATCTTTACCTCAAAAGGATGTAGCTTCTGTGTCATATGTAAAGCATCTGTGACAGATGGCTGGGTATCAGGAATGCTGGTATCCACTGAGTGGCCAGACACTTTTAAAATAGCTCTAGGGACTAAAGCCAAGGTCTTGCACATTCTAGGCAAGTGCTTTGTACCACCCAGCATCATCCCCAGCCCCCAGCTGCTACTTTAAGATTTACTTGTTATGGCCTGTCACTACCCTATTTCCTTCCCCACCCCAGCTTCTTTACCTTGTCATTGAAGCAAGACCCTGATAGGACACTCCAAGAGAGTCCAGGCCCCAGTGCAAGGTCCTATGGAGCTTGCTGGTTGAGCTGGTTGCTGGGAAAATTGTACTTGAGGCTTTGGACACAGGTTAGGTGGTTGTGGCCATACAGAGCCACTGGTGTTAGGGTTACTTCATCCTGCCATCTCCAAGGTCACTGGCAAAGGAGATTGCTGAGGAGTGAGCAACCCTGGAGGGCTGCCTCCTGACAGACACCTACACTGCTCATTGTGTGAACTTTGTATCTGGATCCAGTGACCACTGTGCTTCTAGCACCTGCAGCCATTAGAAGTGTGCTTCTATTTCATGATGCTTGCTCCAATTCTGTGATTCTAGCCACTCATAGATTTCTTCTGGAGAGAGTTTTGGAGTCCCTGGACACTTTAAGAGCATCATGCTCAAGTGTGGCAAGTGACTAGACTCTCTGATGTTGACTAGAACAAGGCCTCTCCTTACAAGACTCTGGACTGAGACTGTGCCAGGGCATGAATGGGAAGAAACCTCTAGTAGGAACTCCTTTGGGACTCTGGTTTTGATTCCTGTTTCTGAGCAGAGGTGAGTACCAAAAGGAAAGCTAAACCCCAGGGCTCCACTGCCTTGCACACCTCTCTTGAGTAGGCCCCAAAGCCTGTTTGTGGGGTTCCAAATTCTGTGCTCATGGGGCTCATAGAGGATGACTTTTGAAGGCTAAGTTTCACTAGGGTGAAACTGATCAAAGTTTGTTTCTTGGGGACCTATAGAGCAAGGTCTAGGGGGATTACCAGACATGCCATTTCTGTATTGGGTGGACTCTTGCTAGAACAGTGAGCGAAACAGAGAAGGTCCTCTGTGTCTGCCCTGATCTGGGAAAGACCATACTCACCCTGGGAACTTGTGGTGTTTCATAAACAGAGAGTATTGTCATTCCTCTCCCCAACCCCATTGAATGACCATAGAGGCTCCTTTTGCTAAGCCCAGTGCCTTTTTTGCTGAGATGACACAGCACAGCCTCTGGGCTGCCCTGTTCTTGCTAATAATGATTGGCTAAGCTGCCAATCTCTTGACATTCCATGGGTTTGTGAGTCAAGAAATATCTATCGTGGGGGCTGGAGAGATGGCTCAGTGGTTAAGAACAATGGCTGTTCTTGCAGAAGACCCAGGTTTGAATCCCAGCACCCACATGGCAACTAACAACTGTCCGTAACTCCAGTTCCAGGGGATCTGGATAGCCTCTTCTGTCCTCCTCGGGCATTGCACGACATGGGCACACTTACCTACATGCAGGCAATACACACATACACATAAAAATAATAAATAAAATATATTTTTTAAAAAAATATCTATTGTGGTGTGCATGTCATGGTTTTGGTGGGTAACAGTGGTGAGGACCATTTCATAGGCTTTTTGACCATTTATTTAGATGTCCTGGTTATATTGACCTCCGTGGTCAGAGTAATGTAGGCAAAGTGTGTGCAATGGCACATGCCTGTAGTCCCGGTACTCAGGAGGCTGAGGCAGGAGAAGCCATATCACAGTGAAAGATTTATCGTCCTCTTTTTTTTTTTTTTTTTTTTTTTAAAAAAAAAAAAAAAAAAAAAAAAAAAAAAATCATGGGCATAATAGTTACATTTCTAATTTTATTATCCAGCCATGCTATACATGTAGCGTTGTGATTGGTCTTTTAATTTATACTATTAGAATTTTTTGTAAATATAGTTTAAAAGTATATTTGGTTTTCTAATTATGACCTATTTGTAGTGACTCAGCTTCCAGTGCCAAATAGAAGTCTGTAGAACTAGTCTTTCCAGACTCCTGTCCCTGCCTGTACCTGAGCAGTTAGCTGGAATGGTGTGGGACTTGTATTCCCCTTGCCTAATGGATATGCATGTTTTTCTGTCGGTTTTTTTCTCTCTCATGCCAAATTATACAGCTTTCCTTAATCTTTCCTCCACATAATAGTAAGCATGCTATGGAATTATCTCCTGATGTCACACATGGATCTGTTTCATACTTGGCAAGAGTCCTGTTGTATGCATATGACATCATTTATTCAGCCGTTTCCATCTATGTTTTATATTTGGAGTGTGTAGAAACCTTTTGAATTTTAAGCTGATTTTATTTTAGCCATATAAGTGAATTTTCTTTTCGTTTTTTTGGTAGATGAATTTTATTTACTTTCTAAGCAACAAAGGTTAAACAGCAGGCTACTTGGTACCAACATTGTTTAAATGTATAAATAATAGGCTTATCTTAAATGCCAGAGTGTAATAAAAAACAATTCTCATGATGAACATTTATTTAAGGGATATATAGGTTGAACACCAGTGAGCTGATGACCATAGTAAAAAGATAACAAAGTGGGGTTTTTTTGTTTCTTTTTTTTGGGGGGGGGTATTTTTGAGACAGGGTCTCCCTGTAGCCCCAGCTAGCATGGAACTCACTTTGTAGACCAGGCTGACCTTGAACTCATAAAGATTGGCCTGCCTCTACCTCCCAAGTGCTGGGACTAAAAGCATGCACCACCACGCCCAGCTAACAAAGTGTTTTTACACCAACATATTTTTATTATATTTTTCTTTCTGTGACTCCTCCATTCAGAAAGCAGGAACCCCCTTTTTTTTTTTTTTTAATTTTTTCTTTGGTTCTTATGTTAACCTAAGCATAGTATAGTTTAAGAAAGGCTTACTTTATGTAATTATGAAATTAACTTTTCATTTGTATGTTGCAATTTAATTATTCATAAAGCCCCAAACTGTGGATTACAGTCACTTTTTGAAAATAAAATGGCATCTTTTTTACATAACCTACTTTGCAAAGTAAAAAATATCTTATGTACCATTAACAACTACCTTGTTTGAAAATCTAGGTAAATATCAGAACATATTTATTTCTGTTTTCATTTTCCATTTGTGACTGTGCTTTAGAAAAGTAAAAATTAAGTACAAACAGACAGGGTGTGGTGGGACATGCCTTTAATCTCAGCACTTAGGAGGCAGAGGCAGGGGGATCTCTATGAGTTCCAGCCAGCCTGGTCTACATAGTGAGTTCCAGTCCAACTGGGGCTACTGGAAGACCCTGTCTCAAACAACAACAAAAAAGTACAAACATTGTCAGCTATTTTATTTCTAATGTCAAGATAATTGGTTATCATCTAATGTTCAATTTCTGCAATGGCTACTTTCAAACTCAAAATTGAGGCCCCTGTGTTTTAAAAAGTGCACTCTGAAAATGCTTTTCAGGAGGTGGGGTAGTAACAACATGAAGGATAAAAAGAACATTTAACATATAAAGTATAAAAATATACATGAGTACATAAATACAAAAACAGCCCTATTTTGTCTGATTCTAAATGCAGTTTTATGTTATCCTTAAATTTGATGAGAAATCTCAAAAAAAAAAAAAAAATCCAGATAGAACATAGACTTCCAAAAAATGTTTTTTCAGGTCTTCATGTAGCCCCAGCTGGCCTGGAACTCTCTATGTAGACCAGGCTGGCCTTGAACTCACAAAGATCCACCTGCCCTTGCCTCCTGAGTGCTGGGACTAAAGGCATGTCCTACAATGCCAGCTAAACAAAAAGACTTTCAACAGATATGTTGGAACTAGGGCTTACCATGACCCATGATCATTACAAAGCAAAAAATTGATGCAAAATATGCATTTGCTAGAAACGAATCACAAATGGAAAGGCAACTTTTACTTTATTTTAACAGTGCAGTGTTTTGCCATTATGTTCAATTACATGTATAAGAACAAAGTGTTAACATGTCACTTACGGTAACATCTTCAGTTTTCAAAGCACTACAATACTTTTAAAAAATGAAAGTATTATCAGTTTGCTTTAACAAGCCATATTCATGCTAAATGAAGTTTTACTTTTAACAACTGAAAATCAAGATGCCAATTTTAGAACTGTTTTCAGAAACTTGGAATATAACATCCTCAGTTCAGCTTAAATATCATCAATGTCTTCATCATCATTTTTGATATCATCACACTGGATTTCATCATCACCTCCAGGACCAAATATGTCTGTTTCATTGGTTTAACGTGTTCTAGAAGTTCTCCATATGCCTTCAGACTTCTGGCTTCATCTGCGTTGTATTTTAAAATGACATCAACTTAGTTATCTTGATAGTCTCATAGACCAATCAATATAATGTCCGAGGTATTTATCCAAGTCTTTTTTCTCAACTTTCCTCTAGTATGGAATAGCCTCCTTACACCATTAAAACACATTGCATTGCTTCCAATTGTCCATTTTCCAGCATTTTAATCACCTGTGCATATTCTTGCCCATCTTTAAACACCACTCTCTTTTTTCATATTCATTTGCACTTTTACCTCTGTGCCTCCTTTTCCTTTATTCTTTGACGTGGTGGTGAGGGCAGCCACAAGGGTGGAAGTGAGGGGATTCCCTGTTTATGGTGGCATGACTCCTTTCCAAGGGCTACTACTTGGATGGGCGAACTGAAAGTGTATCCATGTGGTAGGTCTAAAGCACACTGTGCAGTTACTGGAGCTTTCTGGTAAACAGCAAGGTATGCAAGATCCACAGACAGCAAATGGTATTCCTGGGACCCTGGCTTCTGTTAATAACAAGGCTTCTGCTTCTGGCCCAGTTTTCAGGAAGGTTCAATCTCCTGAATAGTGATGGAAGCCGGCGGAACTCCTGTACTGTTGCAGCCCACCAAGTACCACAGTAACCACCCCTCCTATATAAGTGAATTGTCAAGTGAAACTAGAATAATTCACTTTTATTGATAATGAAATGATGAACCTCTGTCTTATTTTGTCCCAGGAGGAGCCTATTTTGAAATGTTGTTTATTGTGTTGACTTTTTATGTTTTGATTATTCTGGCTCCTATCACAGAAGAAGAAAACTGCTTCTATGGTATGCAGTATATTGCTCAAGTCCTTCTAGAACAGAAGGCTTCCACCTGCTCAGATTTTCCCTTCCACTTGTTTCAGGTATATGAAGCCATCGACACCAGAGATGGAGCATCCTGTGCAGAGTTGGTATCTTTTAAGCACCCCCATGTTGCAAACCCCCGGCTTCAGGTAGGTGATATATGTGCCTTTGGCATCTAGCAAGAATGGAATGCTAGCTTACAGTGCAGGTAGTGAAGGAGTTATGTGCACAGTGTCCAGAGACAACTGTAGGAAACTATCTTGCAGGCTGTAGATAGAAGGAGTTATGAATATGGCATCTAGAGAGAACTGTGGGGCAGTCAGTTTTCCAGGGTTTAGTGTTTGAATAGAACAAAACTAATATTACCACTCTCATTTGAAAATTTCAAAGTTCCTTTACGATTTATGTAATCTCATTTCACTTACTAAGTACAGCGTCCTCCTGTTCCTGTATTTGATTCCTATTTAACTCAAAATTGAAGTCAGTGATGTATCAGTTGTCACCCAGGGGAGAGGCCATGTATGGAACATAGGACTTTGTCCATCTCTGCTTGTCCCCAAAGCCTACTAGCCATCATGTATTATAGGTGAATTCCATCAGGTTCCCACCCAAAACCAAGGCCTAACCTGGGGAGCAGAGCTGTGCTGCTGGTTTAAGTGTTGTTTTGGTAGCCTTCCTGCCACTGTGGTATAGTGACTGAGCCTGCAGAAACCTAGGATTGGCAAACCTGAAGAGTTTTTCTGGCCTTTCATGGAGCACATTTGTCAGCTGTGCTTTGAGAAAATGAGCATCTTCCATTTGGAATTTTAAGTATTGTCCAGACATTATTTCCCTTAGAAAATGTTGACATTTTGTCAAGTCTTATTTCTGCACTAATTTCCTTTATAACATTAGGATATTTTCCTGTGGGGAACAAAGTTTTTCTTTGGGAGGAAAATGGGGCTATCTACTGGTGATTAGATATGGCATTCAGACCAACTCAGTCAGTCTTGGTACCCCAGGGTTTTTCATTAGAGCTCTGGGCCCCTCTGGGTGATTCTGATGGACAGACAGCATTAAGAACTGTTACCATAAGACGTTAGTACCAGAGACTTAAAGAGAGCCCAAGTCACTTAGCCTTAGCACTCTGTGTGGAAGCTGCATATTTGCTGTTGTTCATCTGGGTGGACCCACGTCTGTCTGGACAATATTCTACTGGCCTTTCATCTGATGGGTCCATACTGGTGGTTATTTCATGAAGGATGGCAAAATGGTGGTTTTCTTTCTTTTTTTTTTTTTTTTTTTTTTTTTTTGGTTTTTTTGAGACAGGGTCTCTGGTTACCCCCGGCTGTCCGGGAACTCACTATGTGGACCAGGCTGGCCTGAACTCACAGAGATCCGCCTGCCTCTGCCTCTGGAGTGCTGGGATTAAAGGTACGCGCCACCACACCTGGTTTTCTTTCTTTTTAAAAAAAAAAATTTTATTTTATGTGTATGTTATGCCTGCATGTAGTTAAGTGCACCCATGTCGTGCAATGCACACAGATGACAGAAGAGGCTGTCTGATTGGACAGTTGTTAGCTGCCATGTGGGTGCTGGGTTTCGAACCTGGATCTTCTGCAAGAACAGTCAGTGTTCTTAACCGCTGAGCCATCTCTCCAGCCCCCCCCTTTTTTTTTAAACTTAAATATTTAAAAATTACATTTAGTTATGTGTGTGTGTGTGCACACACGCACACGCGTGCATGTATGTATGTGGGTACACACATGTCACTGTGTATGTGGAGGTCAGAGGACAACTTGTAGGATTTGGTTCCTTTCTTTTACCATGTAGGTCCTGTGGATTGAACTAAGGTCATTAGGCTTGGCAATAAGCACCTTTACCTGCTGAGCCATCTCCCTTGCCCAGAATGGTAATTTTCTGATAGCAACATTTTTCTTCCCCACCTTTATATGTTAATATGTATGAATATTTATTATGTCAGTGAGGATTCATTGATTCTTTTTTTTTCCTTTTAAAATTCATGCTACTCTAGTTTACTGTGTACTAGAAAAACAGCTAAAGTTAACACACGCGGACACACACACACACACACACACACTCTCTCTCTCTCTCTCTACATATCCACATGAAGAGAGCGATTGATTGCTGCGAGGAGTTGGGTGATGTGGTTATGGAGGCTGAAAAGGGCCGTGACCTGCCATATTCAGCTAGAGGCACAGGAAAGTCAGTGTTGTAGCTTAATCTGAGTCCAGAGCCCTGAGAACCAGGGACCAATGGGTAGACACCAAATCTACCTGAGATGCAGTGGTGTAGCTCATGCGGCAGGACCCAGAAAGTGTTCCTTCCTTCTCCCTTTTTGTGCAAGTTAATGGGTACCCATCCAATTGGGTAAGGTCATCTCTTTTATAGACCATCGATTCCAGGTCTGTCTCCTCCAGAAACACCCTTCAGACACTCAAAAGTTGTATTCATTCTGGGTACCCTGAGGCCAGTCCAGGTGACATGTAAAATAACTGTTACACAGATGTGGCTCAAATCATCTTCACTTTACCATTGGAAAGTTAGAAATTACTGTCAGCCCTTAGCCCAGGACATTTGGAAGCTATGGAATGACTGTTCACATGTTATTGTCTCTAATTTGTTGACCTTATGCATGAAAGGAACTGTACTCCTTGTTATTTTTTAAAGTCCATAGCAGTCATATAAGCGTTTCTTGACTGACAGGCTGTTACATACTAAAATATGTGTGAGATCCCATGGCTGTTGAGTAGAAGCACTTACTGTACAAGCCTGACAACCTGAGTTTAACCTCTGAAGTCCAGGATGGAAGGAAAGAACTTAACTCCTGAAAGTTGTCCTCTAGTCTCTGTGTGTGCCATGGCATGCATGTATACACACACAGACACACACACACACACACACATTAAATTTTAAAAAGTCTGAACATGCCTAGCATGTTTTCTGGCCTACAGTAGATAAATCTGAATTGTATTCTTGGGCTTGTTCCCTTGAAACACTGATAGATTCTGGTGGAACAATGAACCTTTCCCTTCCAAGTGTTAAGCTCTAAAATACTACTTTGAGCTGTGAAGCTCTGAAAGCATTTGTGTGTAGCTCTTTCTGTACATGGCAGTGTTTCCATGCCCACTAATTTTACTCTTCTTCTGAATTAGATGGCTTCTCCAGAAGAGAAATGTCAGCAAGTTTTGGAACCCCCTTATGATGAAATGTTTGCAGCTCATTTAAGGTAATCTCTTTGCAGTAGGAAAAACAAACATACACAGCTGAAGATCATTAATTCTCTCTCAGCTTTTATCTTGCATCATCCTTTGCTTGAAAGAGTGAATAATCGACTTTGAAAAGTAGGAAAGTGCATTTGTAACTTCACTGGTAAAACCTGGGTCATACCTGCTATTTATCATACTGACTGGACAGTAGTCTTTTATCATTCAATTGTAGATCTTGAGACCTTGCTTTTCTCATGTTTTTAATTCTTTTGCCTTGAAGGGAAAGAATCTGAGTAGAACAGAGCAAACAGAAACTTCCCTTTACATACCTCTTTATATTGTCTGCTGCTTTCACTCCAGAGTGTCTGTCAGGCAGAACTTTATATCCTAAAGCCGTGTATGTATACAGGATTTCCCTCTGCCTGTATACCTGCTGTATTTCAGAACAGGCTGGGCCAGGCCTTTGGAAGAGGTGGGAGGTACAACTGTGTTCCTTGTAGCAGGAGGCACCCCGTGCTTTTCTAGCTCTGTGCTCTCTGCTATAAGTTTCCAGATTTGATGATGTGCTGGTACTGATTACCAGCAGGAAGCTAGATAGAGCATCTTTAGTGGCCCACTGACAAGAGGTCATTGATCCCTTTTCATTTGGGGACTTGACAGAACTTTGTGCAGGATTTTACCTTACATCAAACCTGTTTCAATCAAATAGTCATTTTTATGCTTTCTCCATCTGTGGTTCTCTGCCAAGCAGGAGCTCCAGCTAGACTTTCAGAAGTAGTAGAGAATTGGTGGGGGGTGGGGAAGGGGAGAGGGAGAGAGAGAGAGAGACCGACCAAACTCTGGGCTGACAATGGCTGGCATCAGGGTTTCATGTGTAGATGCCCTTTCTGGTTCTCTGTCTTCAAGCTCTTGTCTCTTTTCCAGGTGTACCTATGCAGTTGGGAACCATGACTTCATAGAGGCATACAAATGCCAGACAGTGATAGTTCAATATCCTTTGTTCAGCATGTCCTTGTACATTGGGTTACTAAGGTTCGAAGTCTTGAAACATTGGACTAGTTGTTCAAACCTTCAGTTAGACAGAAACTGAAATATTTTGGAAGGCAAACTCTTTTAACTGTTTCATAATGAAACCCATTATTTTGTGTGCTAACCTAAAATGTTAACAAAAAAAATATGTTTTATAAGTGTTCTTACAGAAACTGGTTAAATATTAGAGGCTCATAATTTAGGCTTAGATGGAGAAGAATGGACTCAATATACAGCATCACCATTATTGTCTATGATCACTTACAACCTTCACACCTGTTCTTACTAAATACTATCCTTCTGTTATTGGTTCTTATCAGTAAGCATGCAAAGTATTTGTAGATCTCTAGATTTTAGTTTGTTTTGGAAAATCACCCTGTTTTTAAGTATACTCAGAAGAGAATACTACTAACCAAGTCTCCTTACAATTTAAGAATTCTATTGTTGGTGAAATAAACCTTATACTACAGATTCTTGAACACTTAAATATAACTTATGACCATGTGGGCTCAGAAAAACCAAGTAAAAATCTTTTTAAAAAAGTTTTATAATGGGGGCTGGAGAGATGGCTCAGCGGTTAAGAACACTGATTATTCTTGCAGAAGACCTGGGTTTGAATCCCAGCACCCACATGGCAGCTAGCAACTGTCTGTAACTCCAGTTCCAGGGGGATCTGACAGCCTTTTCTGTCGTCCTCAGGCATTGCACAACATGGGTGCACTTACCTACATGCAGGCAATACCCGAATACACATAAGATAATAATAAATAAAACTTTTTTTTAAGTCTTATAATGGACTTGGGGAGATGATTCCATTGAAAAAGTATTCATTTCATAAGTACGAGGACATGAATTCGATCCTCAGGACCCACATAAAAAGTAGGAGTGGTGGTATGTGCTTGTAAGCCCAGCATTGGGGAAGTGGAAATAAGCAGATCCCTGGGGCCCACTAGCTAATCAGTCTAGCCTAATTGGTGAGCCCTAGGTTCTAGCAGGAGACCATCTCAAAAAAGAAGGTAGGTGACCCTGAGGAACAACACTCAAGGTTGACCTCTGGTCACCACACACGTGCACACACACCTATATACACAAACACAGTAAGTTCTTCAAGAACTTAGTACTGTTGCGACACAGTCTTCTACAGAGCATGTTATGCCTTTACTCTGTTTTTGCCAAATGTGCAGTACTTGAATTTTGTATGTTATGCCTTCCTTAATATGGTACATCATTCCTAAGGGCATTTCAGGCCCACAAAGAAGAAAACTGGTAAGCATGGTGAAAATGGCTGGAAACTAGTAAATGGTACTACAAAATATTTTAAATAGGCAGTGTGTTACGTTTGTTTATGTGTATCACTGTCAGCATGGGTAGTAGAGTTAAACTGAGGTGTCAAATCAGCCAGATTATGTACAGTATTTTTGTGGTATTATTTCAGCATTTCTATGCCCCAAATATTTATTAAGTACTTTTTTTCTTCAGTTGTCAATTTTGAACTTAGTTTTGGTTTTAGACATTGGTAAAAGAGACAGGCCCACTATAGTTCTTTGGGTTATTTTAAATTTCTTAAAAACTAAACTTAAGATTTATGATTAGCAAACTAGGTAAATACTTAAATTTTGTTTATACTAGTATGGCAAAAGGCCTTTTACAGACAGCCAACCCAGTCCTTTCCCTTTTTAAAATTTTATTTATATTTTTTTCTTTTTTCAGTGCTGGTGCTTGAACCCAGGGCCTTGTATGTGCTAGGCAAGCACTCTACCACTGAGCTATATTCCTAGCCCCTTTTTGGTGTTTTTTAAACAGAATCTTATGTATTCTAGGCTGGCCTCAAACTCACTGTAGCCTAGGATGACCTTGACCTGATCCTCCTGCCTCTACTGCCTGAATGCTGAGAATACAGACACAAGCCACTATACCCAGTTTATTCAGTGCTAGGGATTGAACCCAGGCCCTTGTACATGCTAGGCAAGCACTCTGCCAACTGAGCTACATCCCTAGCTTGTTTTGGACTTTGTTGTTGTTTTTGTTTTGAAACAGGACCTCATTTTTTAGTGTATGTTGGCCTGGAACTTGTGATCCTCTTGCCTCTACTTCCTAATTACTGGGATTACAGGTGTATGCCACCATGCCTGATGCCCTTTTTCTTTTCCATGTGAAGGCTTAGCTTACACATGAAGGAAAGCCTAATGCTGGTAGCTAGATGTACACAGAGCCATTTGATGAGTTGTATGTATTATATACTTTGGCTCCTGCTTGGAAATCTAATCCAAACTTATTTTTTTCAATTTTGTAAACAAAAACTTATTTAAAAGTGTAGAAGCTGCTATTGGACAGATTAATGAAGGATACTGTCTTAGTTTGTCTCTTCATTGCTGTGACAGAACACTCTGACCACTACCAACTTGGGGAAGGAAAGGGTTTATTTATCTTACATCTACTGGGTCACAGTTCATCAAGGAGCCCAGGGTAGGAACTCAGGGCAGGAACCTGGAGGAGGCAGCTTACATCTCCCAGGGCTCAGAGCATCAGGGAGCCCAAGGGAGGAACCTGGCGGGGCAGGAGCTGGAGCACAGGCCATGGAGGAATGCTGCTTACTGGCTTGCTCCCTGGCCCATGCTCAGCCTTCTTTCTTATGCAACACAGGCCTACCTGCCCAGGGGTAGCACCACCCAGAGTGGGCTGGGCCCTCCCATCATCACTCATCAAGAAGATGCCCCTCAGACATGGCCACAGGTTTCTGCCCCTCAGAAAAGAGGCAATTCCCCAATTGTGGCTCCCTCAACCCAGGTGTGTCAAGTTGACACTAAAGTTATCCAGCACAGATACCAAATGTGTCTATCCTAGAGCAAAGTTGTCAGACACATTCCTTGGAGTGTTTTGTACAATATTGGAAATTGCTTTCAGAATTTTGAGTTCATGGCAGGTACTGACACTTGGGACTGATTATCCTCAGGGAATATATTCTCCTCTTGAGCTGTTGCTGCTCATTGTTTTTAAATGGAGCTGTTTGGTGAGGGGGTAGTTAGGGAAGAGTTAGTTCGAGGAGTACCTAGCTACACCAGTGTCCAGTTCCCTGAGCAGGGTCAGGACAGTGGTGTGGAGTGAGAAGTAAGTATGACTAGAAAGCCTGAGGCTATAGTGTGCCTGGGCAACAGGTACAGAACAAGGAACAGCTGTCTGAGTTGGGAAGGGTATGGACCTAATTCTTGGTAGTAGCCTTGGACTTCAGTGGTAGGATCTTGGACCTTTTTGCTCTTCAAACATATTTCTTTTTTGCCCTTAGGGCTCTACCTGTCATGTATGCAGTAGCACTTGACCTTCGAATATTTGCCAATAATGTAAGTTTAATTTCTTTCCACTGTTTTGAGATTAAACTTAAGTGACTATCTGCTGCTTAATTTCCTGTCTTCCCAGAATTTTTGAGGAATGAATGAAAAGTGGGATGTAACTGATAGAGGGAACAAAGGACTAGGATATGGCTTTCTCCTGGGTCCATGCAGACAATGTTTGCTCAGTACAAACCCTGTCCATGTAGAGGTAAATGGTAAGCCATTATGGTATGTTTGCTTTGTTAAAAGTAGATGAAGTCTGAGAAAGAATGTGCTATCTTGATGGAGTCCCAAGTCTTCAAAGACCAAAATGTTTCTGATCTTCTAAAATTTAACTGTTCAAGATTGTAATCTTCATTTTCCTAATAAAGCAGTTCTTTAACTTAAAAAAAAATGTAGTAGAATAACTAGAGCAATTTTGCATTCTCTTTTACTCATAAGGTATAGTCTATGCCTATCCTGAAGTATTTTAGCTTAATGTAGGTTTAAGTGGTGACTGAGATCCTAGATTTCATAGAGTCATGCTCTCTTGGGGAACAGCATAAGTTGGTTACAGAACTACTGAGTCTTATTTTGGGGCCTAAACTCCCCTGTGGTTTTAAAAACAATTGGTAATTTCTGGTTCCAGACCAGATTGCTCCTTATTCTTCCTGCAAAGACAGTTACAATCCTAGGAATGTTGAAGTCCAGGTAACTAGACAGGGAGGCAAGAAGGGCTGGGCTCATAGAGTCTGGGAAATCAAGTTTCCTGTTAGCCTCCTGTCTCTCTTGACAAGGAGCCTGTCAAGCCAGAAGTATGGAAGTGCCTGCAGGTAGAGATGAAATCCCTAGGAAGCTGAGCGAGGGGTGACTGCTCCTCAAGGCAGCACTTTCTGACAGTGCCTTCTCTAGTGCTGTGCTCCACATGCAAGTCTGCAACATCAGACCCCACCCTGCTCACTATAAAAGAGATGATGTCTCTGCTTTTCCACTGGCATGAGGCCAGCAGCATACTTAAACAGGGTACTTAAACAGGGTCCTGAAATAGGGTACTTAAGCCTGTAGATGCATAACACAATACCCCAGAGGTTACAGAACATGAAAAGACTTCCACCAGATTCCAACACTGAGTTGAGAATTGTTGGAGTGATTTGACAAGGATTTTAAAGCAGCCATCTAACAATGTGTCAGTGAGCAAGTATGAACACCCCAAACAAATGAAAACTCCTGAAATTCTGAGCAAAGAGGTAGAAAATGCAAAGAACCAAATGGAAAACTCAGACTGAAAAAGGTATTAACTGTGGACCCTGGAGACCTTTCTGTTATACTTTTCATGCTAGAAATTTTAAGTAGGAAAAATTTTAAATAGTCTTTAAAAATAACATGGGGGCTGAAGAGATGGCTCAGCATTAAGAACACTGGCCGTTCTTGCAGAAGACTCAGGTTCGAATCCCAGCACCCACATGGCAGCTAACAACTGTCCATAACTCCAGTTCCAGAAACAATAATAGCCGGGTGTGGTGGCACATGCCTTTAATCCCAGCACTCGGGAGGCAGAGGCAGGTGGATCTCTGTGAGTTAGCAATTCCAAATAATGGCATTTCTTTATATAAATAAAAACCAAAACCAAAATTCCTATGTTGGTTAATATTTCTGGTGACAGCATCGGAATTGTCTTGAATTGGAAGCTGTGAGCCTCACAGCAGGAAAAGGAAGTCTTTCAAAATCTGAGTTTTTCCTGTTATTTATAAGTAAAAGACTTGTTTCATTTACTTCTGAGAACATGTCTGCAGTGCCCACACTAAGTAGCTGTGTTCATCTGTCAGTTGTTCCAAGAAAAGTTAACTTTGTAGTTACAGTTGCAGTTTGTCCCCAAAGTGTTTTTACATTTTCATTTTATCATAGAATGCTAAATCATAAAAATTAATGTTCACTGCCTCACTGAGGACATGTTAGAGTGAAGCCAGCTCGCCTGGCTTGTCAACTGTTGGGTACAGCCTGGTGCTAAAGACTTTGCTCTGGTTCAGTGCTGCTAGAGGGTACCAGCTCTTACCTGCCATTGTCCTTATATCTTCAGCACAGATGGCAAGGCACCAAAGATGGGGAGTGGCTCAGTGTCTTCATGAAAATAGTTTCCAATTTGCAATTGGTTCTTTAACCAGACTCTCTTGTCTTAAACATGGGGCAAGAGTGACATTTTGCAGTGACTTACAGGTTTTGTTCTGTGCTTTAATTGCCACCCTTAGGGGAGAAGAATGATTAGGGATGGAGATGAGAGGAAGCTGCTGAGAACTGTGCAAAGTAGATTAAGATTGGGGACTAGTATCAATTTGACTTGAGGACAGATTTGGTTTGTGGATACTATGGGATGATGTAGACACCTCAGTTTTTAAAACTATGGACTAGATGTCTAAAAAACTTTGTGAGACTTGGTCACTTAATGTGCTCATGATATTTATTTATTTATTTATTTTATTTTATTTTTTCGGAGCTGAGGACTGAACCCAGGGCCTTCCGCTTGCTAGGCAAGCGCTTTACCACTGAGCTAAATCCTCAACCCCCATGGTTTTATTTTTTAAAAATTAATCATTTTTTATTCTGTTAGGCAGATCAGCAGTTGGTAAAGAAAGGGAAGAGCAAAGTCGGGGACATGCTGGAAAAAGCTGCTGAGCTGCTGATGAGCTGTTTCCGAGTCTGTGCTAGTGACACGTGAGTGAGGGTCTGAGACCTGTGTACAGACAGGAAATAAGAAATGGGAAAAAAACCTTATTTCTGCTCACATACATGCACCATTTCTAGAGCACATATCAATCCACTATGGTGCCATCCACTCCTGAGGAACGGTCCCCAAAGCCTGCACTTGGTGCAGGTCTTCTGATGAGAATTCTACACTTTTTACTACCTGAAGTATCATTTGCCTTCAAAGGCTCATGTGCCAGCTAGACTTGTAGCTTAGCTGTCTCTCCCTCTCAGCACTTTGAGTGGTATCCCTTGTCTGATTCAATGGTTTTGACAGCCAGCTTCCCTTACCCCCGATCCCTGGCTGACCTTTTCTCTTTACCACTGACTTTGAGTAATGTGCTCTTCTTTGTCTGGTGAGTTCTTTAATTCTCCTGTTTAGGATTCATGGAGCTTTTTTGATTTATAAGTTGTTGATTTTTATCAGATTTTTAAGTTTAAAATTTTTTTATATCCATTTCAGTCTTTTATTGCCTCCCTCCCTTCATTTTGGATAATTTGTTTTAGCTTGTTTGCAAGTTGACTGGTCTTAGCTACCTTTGTTTACTTCTTAATTCTAGACCTCTGTCAGAAAGAGCTTCTATCTCCTAAAACTCCATCTTGTCACCAGTTATGTAGCCATACTATGTCATGTTGAGTTTGTAGTAATTGTGTTTGTTTTTTTTACTTGTTTTGTTTTGTTTTGAGGCAGGGTCTCATTATGTAGCCCTAGCTGGTCTACAACTCGCTATGTAGACAAGGTTGGCCTTGAATTCACAAAAATCCACCTGCCTCTGCCTCCCATGTGCTTGTGGGTTTTTTTTTTTGTTTGTTTGTTTGTTTTTTGTTGTTGTTGTTGTTGTTGTTGTTTAAATGAACCATGGTCTTGCTGTATTGCCCCAGCTGTCTTCCTATGGTTGAGAACCTCAGCTGTCTCAAGGCTTCTCTGTCTGCTAGTTTTAATTAGTCCTCCTTTCATGATTGAAGGCCTTGGCCAGCTCCAAGCCTCTCTACTCTTAACTGACCATCCTTCCATGATTGAATGTTTCCAGGCTTCATACTGCTGAACCCATATTGGATGTGTTTTTTTTTTTTCCCATAAGCCTTCACAGTACTCTGCTTTTGTGTATTGTACTTAACACTGTGATGCTTTGGGCGCTGATGACTGGAGATGTACCAGATTGCAGAGGGTGTGAGGACTACATGTTCTTTACCATCCTGTCTTATACCATAGTAGTTCTATAAATGTTTATCAAATGGCCACTTGAAATTCCATGTGATTCTGTATTTCTGCAGAGCAGTGACCTTTGTGACCTTTGATCTGTCAGTGATTTCGTAGATAAGATTCCAAATACACAAGCAGTGCAGAAACAATACATATTCAACTTTATTAAGATTACAAACTTGCGTGTTTCAGAGGATACCACAACAAGAGAAAATGGCCATATTTTGAAAAAAACATATTTGAAAATAACATAAGGAGCTGGAGAGATGGCTCAGTGGTTAAGAGGACTGGCTGCTCTTGCAGAGGATCTGGGTTTGAGTCTCAGCACCTACAACGTGGCTAACAACTATCCATAATTCCAGTTCCAGGGGATCCAACATCCTTTTCTGACCTCTGTAGGCATTGCACTACACAAGTGCATCGACTTACATGCAGGTAATACACACATATACCATAAAATAATAAATAAAATAGTAAAGAAAAAAAATCATGGTAAGGGTCTAGTATGTGGAATATTTAATGAGTTGTTACAAATGTAAAAGGAAAGACAAGGCCGGGTGTGGCGGTGCACACCTATAGTCCCAGCACTTGGGAGGCAGAGGCAGGTGGATCTCTGTGAGTTCAAGGCCAGCCTGGTCTACATAGTGAGTTCCAGGACAGCTGGGGCTACAGGGAGACCCTGTCTCAAAAAAAAAAAAAGACCAAAAAAGAAAAAAGAAGTTATTTATGGGGCTGGAGAGATGGCTCAGCAGCTAAGAACACTGGTTGTTCCTGCAGAAGACCCAGGTTTGAATTCCAGCACCCACATGGCAGCTAACAACTGTCTGTAACTCCAGTTCCAGGGGCTCCGACGCCACGAGCATTGCAGGACACGGGTGCACTTACCTACATGCAGGCAATACACGCACACACATAAAATAAAAATTAAAAATTAAAAAAAAGACATTTAATAATAAACTATATATTCTAAAAATTTTAATAAAAAGATACATAAATGGCCAGTAAACATGTGCAGAGATGCTCAACACTATTAACCCAAGACCAACGAAACACAAGCAAGGACCACAATGATCTAACTGCCTCTTCATGTCCGTTAGGGTGGTTGTGCTCATTAAGTAAGAATACAGATGAGGAGAGCAAATGGATACCTTTCACATTGCTGGTGGACTGTGAAGTTATTAGCTGTGTGGTTGAATGCTTTGGCTATTTCTTAGAAAGTTGACCTGGAGTTAACATGTGCCAGCATCCCGCTGTGTGCCCAGAAGGCAAGTAAACCCAAGGATACTTCTGTCTCCTGGGCTTTGTGTTTGTCTGAGTGTGCTAAAGAGGCCGTGGCCCTGGCACCAGGTTGGTAGGGTATTACCATTCTGACATGCACAGTACCTGCCTGTACATTTCTTATGGCCTTAATTTGCTTTCTGCTGCTGCTCTTTAAGTAGCTTGAACAGTTATATTCTTTGTCATGCTTACATGTAAGGACAGTGACCCAGAGAGCAAGAGCAAGTGTCTTGTAGCTGGTTGATACTAGTTGGTGACAAAATTGGTATGAAAGAGCTGGTATAGCAGCTAACTAGCAGCTGTCATGAAGCAGGCTTTGGTCTTGTAAAGTGGATTGCATTTTCATACCGCATTCTGGACAACTGGCTTTCTGGCTGTGAGTACTGGGTAGCTTCTGCTGGGCTGTAACTGGCTTCATGCTCTTTGTCTAGTGTTCCCAGGAGCTGCCACTAGGCTTTTCTCTGACACCACTGCCTATACATGTGTCAGGGGAACCACTTGCAGAGAAAGTACACAGCTAATTCAACTTGATTTTTATTTTTCCAAAGCTTTATCATGAATCTTCAGATCTTCCATAAAGTTGGGATAATTTTATGGTGACTAACTCTACCACTTCTGTGAATTTACTACATTTGTTTTAATATGTCTGGTCATGTCTCCGCCTCTATTATCTCAGTTTATCTTTTCATACCCCTTTTTAATTTAATTTTATTTATCTATTCATTTTTATGTGTATGAGTATTTTGCCTGCATGTATGTAAGTGCACCCAAGTCGTTCAATGCCCACGGAGGTCAGAAGAGGGCATCAGATCCCCTGGAACTAGAGTTACGGGCAGTTGTTTGCTTGCCATGTGGGTGCTGGGAATTGACCCCGAGTCCTCTGCTAGAGTAGCCAGTGCTCTTAATGACTGAGCTATCTCTCCAGTTCCTCATGCCCTTTTAAAAAAATGTATTTCAAAGTCAGTTGCAAACATTTCTACATGTTCCTCTCAGTACTTCATTTTTCCCTTTGTCCTTTGAGGCAAAATGTATGTACAAAACCACACAGACCCCAGGTAGTATATGTTTGCCTAGTTTTGATACACATCCCACCCTGTGACTCCAATCCTCTCTTGAGTAGGGCCTAGCTGCCACTGTCCTGGTGTTTCCTGGTGCTCTTAGTTGTGACCTCATCTGCAGGAACTGCTACAGTGTGCTTTTTTTACCCCTTGGTTTCCTCCTCATGTATTTAATGAGTTCATTTTGTTGTAACAATAAGAGAAAATGTTCTTTTCTTCTTTCAAAAGTGATTTATAATAGTTACCTTTTACACAACTGTATTAGGGTTCTCCAAAGAAACAGAACCAGTAGAATGAATATATATGTATAGAGATTTATCAGCTTAGCTCACAGGATAGAGTCCGAGTAGTCCAAAAACGGCTGCACCACACTGGAGAGGCTGAGAATCTGTAGTCGCTCAATCCACGAGGCTGGATGTCTCAGTAGTCCCGATCTGGCACTGAAGGTCTGACGAATTCCAAAAGATCAGCTAGTCTTCAGTCTACAGCAGCAAGATGAACTCATCAGCGAGAGAGAAGGCAAGCAGTAAGAAGCCTGGCATTCTCCTCTGTCATGGCCTTTTATATGGGCTGCCATCAGACGGTAACACCCACATTTAGGGTGTCTTCCAGCTTCAGATTGTCCAATTAAAAAGATCTTTCTCATTTCAGTTAATCCCAGATCCAGTCAAGTTGACACCCAGGATTAGCCATCACAACAATTCTGCTGCAAAGTAGGCAATTTATAGCTGGTGCCTCAGGGAGCTCCCCTCTGTTTAAGTTTAGAATCCTTGGGTTGCTCTTTTTATTTTTTTTAATTAGATATCAATGTCTTTTTTCATGGTATTATTTTATATGGTGAATATGACTTGAGTTGTGGGACTTTATCTCAATATAGTAATATGCTTAGCAGTCTGTTTTGCAGTTTATCACATTTATTTGCTCTTCCCATAGCCGTGCTGGCATAGAGGACTCGAAGAAGTGGGGGATGCTGTTCCTGGTGAACCAGTTATTTAAAATCTACTTTAAGGTGTGTTTATGTATGAGTTTTTATAAAGTGGCTCCCTGTCTTCCCAGATAAATTATTTCTGTTAATTATTAGCTTGCCTTCTGGAATGTATTAGGAGTGATCCTAACCACATTTATAATCCTAATAGCTGACAATCATTCAATGTCTTGCAAAAGCAAGGCTCTATTTTAAATATGAGGATTGTAGCTTGTAGCTCAAACCTGCCCAGCATTCTCAAGAACCTGAGTTCCATTCCCAGAACCTGGTTCCATTCCATACCACAAAAACAAGAACTAAATCTTCAGCTGCTTTGTTGATGCACACTTTTAACCCCAGCACTCAGGAGATAAGAGCCGGGCAGAGGCTGGCGGATGGAAGCCAGCTTGGTCTACGTAGGAGTTGCAGGCCAGCTGGGGCTAAAGGGAGACCCTGTCTCAAAAAACTAAACAGTAATAACAACAAAAAGAACTAAAGCTTCACAAAGATCTGATTTAAGATAGCTCTTGGACCAGTCGGAGACTATTACCAAGTACCAGAACTGGTCACACACAGACATTATCTATGAATTGCCCAGGCCTAAGTGACACATCTACAATGCAGCCTCTACCCCTAAGGCTCATGAAACATAGAAGAGGGATAGTGAAGAGGACACTAATGAATCTCTCAGTTCTCAGTAATGAAGCTCCCTCATGCAGCAGAGGGCCAGGAACAGAAAAGGTCACAAAGAGCCAAAGTGTAGAGATCAAGAGTCTTCTGAATGCTGGTCCTTGGACAGGATCCCTTTATTAAACTTCTCCCACACAAGGCTCAGGGACCATCTTGGAAGAGGGGGCAGAAAGAAAGTAAGAGCCAGGGAGGATGTGCACGACCATATGGAAATAGTCCTACAAGCTCCTGGGAACCTGTTCATATGATTCTATGGCAATGATGTCAGCATACACAAGTCCCATGCAAACTCAGGCATACAGTAACCCAGCATGGAACTGGGAAAATGTACAGTAGACCAATTTTATCTGAAGGAATGTTGGCAACTGATAGCTGCTAGATGAAGAAGAGCTGTTCTTCCTAAAACAAGTGACTCTAGATAGACTGATTAGACTTAGTGGATGGACTTGCACCAGGGAACAGTTGAGGACACTGACAACCCAGTGGGCCTTAACAGGGATGACGGAGTATATGGACTCCAGTGGGGTGGGGGGTTATGGGAGGGTGCCAGGTGGGGACGGGAATATTAGGATGATTAAGATTGTTTGAGCTGTTCTGTATGAAATACACAAAAAAAATCAATTAAAAAAAGATAGCTCTTGGAAGTGAGTGTAGCTACCTCTAGGACAGGACCCTGAGCAGAGTGACTAGCACTTTGGGGACTGAGGTCCTGAGCACTGAGTGACTTGCCCTGTAGGGACTAAGGTCTTGAGAACTGAGTAACTGGTCCTTATGGTGTAGCTGGGCTTTTGGTACAGGTGACCCCTCTCTGCAGATTTCTATCCTGTGTTATAATGTTGACCATATGGAACTAGGGGTTTTGTTTTTGCTTTATAAAGTCTGGCAGACAAAGCACAGCCTGTCATAATTCATTGTCTGGGACTTTTGTTTGTTTGTTATTGGTTTTGTTTTTTTGAGACAGGGTTTCCCTGTAGCCCCAACTGGCCTGGAACTCAAAATGTAGGCCAGGCTGGCCTTGAGCTCTGTGAAATCTACCTGCCTTTTCCTCCCGAGTGCAAGGACCGTAGGTGCGTACCACCATGCATGGCTATTGTCTGGGATTTTATCTTTGATTCCAGTGGTACATTTAAATTGTTATGGACGCTTGTTAGCCACCATGTGGGTGTTGGGAATCAAACCCAGGTCCTCTGCAAGAGCAGTGCTCTTAGCCACTGAGCCGTCTCTCCAGTCCCCAAATTCCCCTTTTAAAGAGACACACAGTAAATCAAAAGTTCATGTCTTTTCTTCTGCCTGCCTGCTTTGTTGTTGTTGTTTGTATTTTAAATGCCTTCTTCTTCATTATAGATAAACAAACTCCATTTGTGTAAACCTCTGATCAGAGCCATTGACAGCTCAAATTTGAAAGATGACTACAGCACTGCACAGAGAGTCACATACAAATACTATGTTGGACGGAAGGCCATGTTTGACAGTGACTTCAAGCAAGGTATGTTGGTACTTCTGTGCTAATGTTTTAGATAAGACATATATTCTGTCCAATTTCAGTGATGCTGATAGTTTAGAGAACATAATGACTGTATTTTACTATTAAGGTGGAATATGTAAATCAAGTCCTGGTTGCTCACATATATACGTATGTATATGTGTGTATGTATTTCTTTGTTTTTTTAAAGATTTTATCTTGAAGCTGGGCGTGGTGGCTCACGCCTTTAATCCCAGCACTCGGGAGGCAGAGGCAGGCGGATCTCTGTGAGTTCAAGGCCGGCCTGGTCTACATAGTGAGTTCCAGGCCAGCTGGGGCTACAGGGAGACCCTGCCTCAAAAAAGACAAAAAAAAAAAAAAAAAAAATTTATTTTGATTTATGTGTGTCTGCGTGAATGTATGCCATGGGTGTATAGGCACCTGCAGAGATGAGGAAAGAGTGTCAGATCCCTAGAGCTGAAGTTACAGGCAGTTGTGAGCCACCTGATGTGGGTTCTGGGAACCAAACTTGGGTCCTCTGGAAAAGCAGGAAGCACTTTTAACTGCTTAGTTATCTCTCCAGCCCACTTTTGGGTTTATTTTTTGAGACAAGATCTCACTCTGTAGCCCAGACTGTCCTGGTATTCACTATGTAGCCTCAACTGGCCTCAAATTCATGGTGACTCTCCTGCATCAGGTTCCTGAGTGCTGGGATTACAAGCATGAGCTACTGTAACTAGCTTTATTTTATTTTATTTTATTATTTTATTTTTTTGTCTTTTTTTGAGAGGGTCTCCCTGTAGCCCCAGCTGGCCTGGAACTCACTGTGTAGACCAGGCTGCCCTTGAACTCACAGAGCTCCACCTGCCTATGTATGCCTCCTGAGTGCTGGGATTAAAGGCATGAACCACCACGCCCACTTTTTTTATATTTTTAAATTATTATTTTATTTTACATGTATGAGTATATTGCCTGAATGTGTGTAAGTACACCCGTGTCGTGCAAGCGGGCATGTGTGTGCCACAGTCGGGGGGGGGTACAGAGGGCAAATTTATGGAGTTGGCCCTCTCCTTCCACCACTATATGGGTTCCAGTGATTGAATTTAGGAATTTAACTCAAAGCATCAGGTATCTCTGTAGTACCAGCTTATAGACCAGGCTCACCTCAATCCTCTGCCTCATGAGTGCTAGAATTAAAGGTGTGTGCCACTATACCCAGCTCCTAAGTGCATATATTAAAGCTGATTAGACAAATGAAAATTTATATTTGGAGGGTCTGAATAGGAACAGTGATTGTTTTCTCTGTTTGCCTTTAAATTGTAGTAGGAAATGGAACTTAGGATAGAACTTGGCCCAGCTGCCACCTCACTACCTGAAGTCTCAGTAGAAAGGCCCTGAAGGAAATGCAGAATGTCCTTGGGCCTTGATCCATCTTTGGTATTTGTGACAGCATTGCTGTCTGTCAGTCCTGGGTTTTACGCTCAATAGCTTATCTGTTCACCCTCCTGAGCTTTCTCAAGGATGTGAAGCTGGGTTTTTTCTTTGTAAACTTAAAAAAAAAATAGATTTTTTTTTTTTTTTTTTTTAATGTGAGTGAGTGTTTTGCCTGCATGTATGTAAGTGCACCTGTGTTGTGCAATCCCCGTGGAGGTCAGAAGTGGGCATCAGATCCCCTGGAACTGGAGTTAGGACAGTTGTTAGCCACCATGTGGGTGCTGGGAATTGAACCCAGGTCCTCTGCAAGATTAGCTAGTGCTCTTAACTGCTGAGCCAACTCTCCAGCCCAGCTGTGTAATGTTTTTACTTGAGTCTGTTATAATAAAGTGATTTTATTTAGTAAAAAAATAATAAATTAAGCTGGGTGTGGTGGTGCATGCCTTTAATCTCAGCACTTGGGAGATAGAGGCAGGCTGATAAAAATAAATAAAAATAAAAAAGATCACACAGCTAGATTAAGGAAGCCACTCCAACACTTGCCCAGTCCTAAAATCCTATGTATCTCAGTAATTCCTATACAGTTAGGATGGCCATTCTAAACCATGGAACTTCCCTTGGAGTTCTATACTTTTGCTATCAATTACATTTTTAAATATTTATCCACCACTAAAAAGAAAAAACAACAACAAAAACTACAGCAGAGTTGAAACTAGAAAAACAATTAGCTTTATATCCTCTTTCATGACTCATGTCCTTTTGCCTGCGTTCTGTGCTTCCTCATGACCTAATATTACCCTTTTTGATCTCTCTCTCTTTTTTTTTTTTTTTATCTTTTTGGGACAGGGTCTCCCTATAGCCCCAGCTATCCTGGAACTCAGTATGTAGACCAGGCTGGCCCTGAACTCACAGAGATGCACTTGCCTCTGCCTCCTGAGTGCTGGGTTTAAAGGCTTGCACCACCATGCCTGGCCTTTGGTTTCCTTTTTAAATGTCATATTAAACCTGTACTTATACCTGTTTACACATTTAGATTATATAATGGCTGGGGTCTACACATGAGGGAAAGCATGCAGTTTTTTCTTTCTGAGTTTGGTTCACTTTGATTAATACTATACTTTCCAAGTCCATCCATTTTCCTGGATGAACTATTTCATTTCTCTTTACAACTGAATAATATTCCATTTTCTATATGTACCACATTTTTATTATCCATTCATGAATATTTAGGTTGGTTCCATTTCCTTGCTATAGTAAATAAAGCAGCAATAAGCATAGATGTACAAATATCTCTATGGTAGGCTATAGAGTTCTTTGGATCTCATGTTAGTTGTATTTTTTTTTTTTTTTGAATAACTTCCAAACTGATTTCCATAATGACTGTGTTAATTTGTATTCCCACCAGCAGTGAGTAAGGAAGGTTACTCTTTCCCCACATCTGTTCTCACATTTGTTGACAGATTTCTTGATGATAGCCATTCTAAGTAACTCAAAGTATTTTTCTTTTTTTCACTGGTCGCGGGGACCTGCCCAACGCTGCCTTTTGTTGAGATGCTTGGGGGGAGGCTGGGCGGGGTCCGGGAGTCGTAACTCAAAATATTTTTAATTTGCATTTTCATTTATTATTATTATTATTAGAGAGAGAGAGAGAGAGAGAGAGAGAGAGTTGCTTGCATGCATGCATGCAAATAAGTCCACCCATGTTGTGCAGTGCCTACAAAGGTCAGAAGAGGGTTTTGGATCTCTTGGAACTGGAGTAATGGTTAGTTGCCTTGTTGGTGCTGGGAATTGAACCCGGGTTTTCTGCAAGAGCAGTCAGTGCTCTTAACCACTGAGCCATCTCTCCAGCCCCCTTCTTCCTGTATTTTTATGTTTATGTGAAGATAAGAATATTTGGAATGTCCCAGCTATTTTACATTTTCATTAGTTTATGATTTTTTTTTTCTTTTTTTTGAGATAGGGTCTCCCTGTAACCCCAGAGGCCTGGAACTCACTATGTAGACCAGGCTGGCCTTAAATTCACAAAGATCTACCTGCTTCTGCCTTCCAAGTGCTGGGGTTAAAGGTGTGCACTACCATGCCCAGCTTTCTCTAGATATTTTTGACTCTAAGCATGATAAGTTTGATTCCAGGCTGGAGAGATAGTTCAGCACTCGCTGTTCTTGCAGAGGTGCTGGGTTCAGTTCCAGCATTCACATGGCAGCTAGCAACTGTCTGTAACTCCATTTGCAGGGGATCAGACACCCTCTTCTGACCTCCGCAGGCACTGCACGACATGGGTGCACTTACACACATGTAGGCAATACACTCATACACATAAAACAAAAATAATAAATTATTATTTTTTTAAGTTTGATTCCAGAAATCTGAAACCCTCTAATGATGGCAGGAAATGTCATCATGTAATAACTGTCAGAATGTGTTTTCTATGTACCCAAGGCCTCTGAGACTTAGTTGTCTCAAGTTGTAGTAAATGCACACTTCTCCAGAGCTGGTTTGTGGAAGTCACGCTCATAGTTGGAGTGGTGTGAAGACTGGCAGCTCAATCTTGCAGCTCTGTCCTTGTCACTGGCTGTGCCCCTCATAGGGTCCTGATGAGACACAGCTCTGTGTGGAAGAGACACTTCTTCCCAAGTAATAGTCACTTTCAATTATATGAATAGAAGTTTACTTTGCCAAACATAAGCACTGTATATTAAATCAGAAGCAGTGACCCTCAGTGCAAATTTCCTTGGCCTCCAGACTCTGGCCTAGATCCTGCTGCCTCTGATGATAGAATCTGTTTGAGGTAGGCCTGTGCTTCTGAGTATCTCTGGTTTGTTTGTTTGTTTGTTTGTTTTATGTATATGGGTGTATTGCCTGTGTGTATGTAAATGCACCTATTTTATGCAGTGCCCCCGGAAGCCAGAAGAGGGCATTGGATCCCCTGGAACTGGAGTTGTAAGCCTCCATATGGCTGCTGGGAACCAAACCTGGGTCTTCTGCAAGAATACCCAGTGCTCTTAACCTCTGACCCATCTCTCCAGCTCCATCTCTGTTCTTTTGTATTCAGGACCTAATAAACCTTGTCCAGGAGGGTCTTCTATAACAAGTGATGTTCCTGTGATTTACTTCATGCTTCTCCAATTTTTGAACCAAGCTTGGATCACTGGGGCCTCATATAGTCCAGGGAGGGAGGGGAGTCTGCCTACCAACTCTGCTGTGCTTTGTGCTGTCAACCTTTGCACTTGAAGAAAGGCCTGTTTCCCATCTCCCTGTCCTAACAGAAGTCCCATTAGTAGGTATCCTAGTTACTTTCTATTGCTGTAATTAAAAACACCAGCCAAACCAACTTGGGGAGGAAAGTGTTTATTTGGCTTACAGCTCTCAGTCCATCATCAAAGGAAGCCAAGGCAGAGACTCTGGGCAGGAACTTGGAACACAGACCATGGAGGAGTGCTTCTTACAGGCTTGCTCCTCTGGGTTTAGCTTTCTTTCTTTCTTTCTTTCTTTCTTTCTTTCTTTCTTTCTTTCTTTTTCTTTTAATATTTTACTAATTTTTATTTTATGTGTATGAGTGTATTGCCTGCATGTATGTCAGTGCACCCATGTGATGCAATGCTGCAGAGGTCAGAAGAGGGCTTTGGATTCCCCTGGAACTGGAATTAAAGACGGTTCATAGCCACCATGTGGGTGCTGGGAATCGAACCCAGGTCCTCTACAAGAGCAGTCAGTGCTCTTAATCGCTGAGCCATCTCTCCAGCCTTCAGCTTGCTTTCTTACACAACACAGGACCCACCTGCTCAGGGGGTTGCACCATCCACAATAGGCTGGACCTTCCTACACCACTCAACAATCAAGAAAATGCCCCACAGACATTGTCACAAGCCAGTTCAATGGAGGAAATTCCTCAGTTGAGGTTCCCTCTTCCTAGGTGTGTCAAGTTGACAACTAAAGCTATCCAGCACAGCAGGTTAAATTCTTTTTTCTGATCTGTGCTATGTTGTTTGTAGGACAGGGCCTGGGTGAGGTGGGGTCTCTTGACAAACTGAGTATTTCTTTATTCTGAAATCTATTAAATTCAAACTGTGTTAGATGAAATAGAGCCTTCTTTAAAAGTTGTGGGTAGGACAGAGTTAGTACATTACAAGTTAATAAGATAATTTTTTAAGCACATGGTCATTTTAAGTGGAAGGTATAGAGTCATTGAGTTGTATGCTGTGCAGCTCCAAAAACACTATACTCTTTGTACTGAGTGTAGTGTTTTCAGAGCTGCTGCTTTTATATGTCTGTTTTCCAATTGTAAATGCCAATCTTAATGGTTTGCAGATGACCTTAGCAAATTACAATCTCAACAGAAGTTAATTTATTGGTTTCCTGTTAAGTAGGCCATCCCTGGCAGGCAGCACCTCCTTGAAATCAGGGCTATGGATTTTACTTAGGAAAGTCATTGATAACAGAAATGAAGCGGGGCTGCTGTTTTTGACATGGGAAAGGGAGGCAGCATTGCCTTTTGTTGAGGGTCATGGTGGAATAGGCAGGAGGTGGGTATGCTGGGCTGTAAGGCTGAGAAATGTGATGCCTATGGGGCCTGCTCTCTGTAGCTGAGGAGTACCTGTCATTTGCCTTTGAACACTGCCATCGCTCCAGTCAGAAGAACAAGAGGATGATTCTGATCTACTTGCTGCCAGTGAAGATGCTGCTGGTGAGTGATTGACGGCAGTGTTTGTAGCTTGCTGTGATGGACTTAAAGCAGTTTATGTGCTGACTGCAGTCTGAGCTGCATGCTACATGTGAGCACAGCCCCAGAAGACAATGAGTGAGCCCCTGAGTAGAGGAGTGAGTTTTGCATGTGTCTGCAGGCACCTCCAGAGAACTTTGCTTTGTTTCTCTTGAAAGTAATTCTGAACTTTAACATTCATATAACAATTGAAACAAATGCGTATTATTTATATAATCTCCTTAAAAGCCTAAATTCATATCAGTGAATTTACCAAAAAAGAAAAATGTCATTCCAGTCTTCCTGTAGGAATGTTAATCACTAGTCTTATGTAGCTAAGGCTGGCTTCAGACTTGCAATGTAGACAAGACTGTCCTTGGGCTCCTGATCCCCCGCCTCTACATCCCAATTTCTGGAATTACAGATAAATGTTATCCATCCCACCTCAGCCCAAAGTTCATTTTTGAAACTTGAACAGAAAAGCCACATAACTAGATAGACCAGCCTACTGATATAGCCTCACAGAAGAAATTAACAAAGGATGGGAAGGGGGGAGGTGGAGGGAGGTGGAGAATAGTGCAGTATGTGGCTGAAACCTAGGTAGTCTAGAGGACCTGAGTTTGCTTCCAGTACCCACATCAGAAGCAGGTACACCTATAACTCTGACTCCGAGAGATCCAATGCCTTCTTCTCACCTCCACAGATGCCTGCACACACCTAGTACACACAAACACACAGACACATATACATATAAAACAAATGTGTTTCTGTTCAAGAAAGCTAACTTTCTGTCTTAGGGTCACATGCCGACCATTGAACTTCTGAGGAAGTACCACCTCATGCAATTTTCAGAAGTGACCAAAGCTGTAAGGTAGGTTTTGTTCTTTTCCACTGTTTTATGAACAGAAAGTTAATAGAGATTGCATGCATGCTGTATTAGAAACCATGCTGACCTGTTGGTTTTCCTGGGGTTTTGTCTGTGGCTCTACATTGCATCTTTCCTTGCCTAGTGAGGGTAATCTGCTGCTGCTCAACGAGGCACTGGCAAAGCACGAGACTTTCTTCATCCGCTGTGGCATCTTCCTCATCCTGGAGAAGCTGAAGATCATTACTTATAGGAACCTCTTCAAGAAAGTGTGAGTGGGGCTAGGGAGATGGCTCAGTGGGTAAAGTATGCTGTGCAAGCAGGTGGACCCAAATTTGAATCCCTGGGACCCATGTAAAAACCGGAAGCTTACAGGCCACCAGCTTGGTATACAAAGCAGAAAAACAACAAAGAGACACAGTTACCAAAAGACCCTGTTTCAAACAAGATGAACAGCAAGGACTGTCAGCTGCAGTTGTCTTCTGAACTCTACATGTACACCTATATTCACACATAAAAATGTGCACACACACACACACAATATGTGAGTATCTGACAAAAGGAATCCCTAGGGCAGATGATGCAGCCTTTGTGGCCTGTGGGGGCAGTATCCTGCCTCTCCTCATGGCATAGAGTCTGTCTGACTCTGAAGGCCTATGTAATGACACAACTTGGCAGCAGACTCAGCATTAGCCAGGGGTTACTGAACATCTTATGCCTGACTGAACTGTGGCACTAATGTCCTCTTTCCTTTTCTGGGATGACAGCTGTTTTATCCTTCCCATCTCTATGTGTGTCAGGAAGTTAAATGTAATAGCTTCTTTTCCCATAGAACACTGACTTCTGAGGCGTCCAAACAGGCTCTCAGATAAACAGAGACAGACCTTGTATGTAGCTGAAGACAGTCTATCAGAAATAGTAAGAAGCAGCTGAATTCACAAGATACTGCATTGTAGGATATTTCCTTATTTCAGAGCTACTGATTAATGATGGCATAGTATACATATATGAACATTCTATTGTATAGTGACAGTTTAAAAATAGAAAGTTCATGAGCTGCATGTGGTGCTGCATGCCTTTAATCCCAGCACTTGGGAGGCAAGAGGTATGTGGATCTCTGAGATCAAGACTAACCTGTTGTACATCGTGGAATCCAGGCTGGCTGAGGCTACAGGGAGGCCCTATCTCAAAAAAAAAAAAAAAAAAGTAATGATATAATAATAATAATAATAATAATAATAATAATTAAGAAAAACTCAAAAACCAAAACCAAGTGGAGGGGAAAAAAAGAAAGCTCATGTACTATTATATTTAATAGCTCTTATTTTGGGAGTGTTTTTTAGGGTGTACTTAATAGAAACTTAAAATTATGTTGAACACTGTTCATTAAAAGATGCTATTCCTTATTAACTTGCTTATGGCTCCCCTTCTTGGTCCTTGAGATGCTGAATCCTGTTGCTAATTACTATGACTTTTTTTCCTCTTCCAGGTATTTGTTACTCAAAACACATCAGCTGTCTCTAGATGCCTTTCTGGTTGCCTTGAAATTCATGCATGTGGAAGATGTGGACATTGATGAAGTTCAGTGCATTCTGGCCAACTTGATATACATGGTATTTGAGTCATCACAGTTTAAGCCACTGCTCTCAGCAGGACTTTGTCTGGAATCTGAAAGTTTAATGTGGTCCTAACATTATCAAAAGGCCTTCTGTGTTTCTGAAGGCATTTTCTGATAAGAACTACTTTTTCCAGAAAATACCATTCAAGGGGCCTCATGTGGTAAGGGATGGAGGGTATAACATATTCCTATATTCTCCACTGTATATGTTTGTATTCATTGTCTCCCAGAGAGCGGAATTGCACTGTTAGTGGGGAAGAGTGTTTATCACCACTGTTACCATTATATTACTATATATATATATATAATCATTATATTGTTATTATTTGATCTTTGATCTGACCAGGATGTGGAAATGTAAGCTAGTCCTTTTTCCTTTGTTCCAGGGTCACATTAAAGGCTACATATCCCATCAGCATCAGAAGCTGGTCGTCAGCAAGCAAAACCCCTTTCCCCCACTGTCCACCGTGTGCTGATGCCCAGACCCTGTGCACAGAGAGCATTCTCCTTGGAACCCAGACTTGCTACGAGCTGTTTGCTGCAGCCCAAGTCTTCTGGTGCTTCTCCAGGGCCGCATGAGACACTGTGCCGGCACACAGAATATCTAGCCATGTTCTCCATTGTCATAACCAACTTCAGCCTTGCAGGATCTGGGATTCCTTTTCAGGATGTACAAGCACCCCTGCTGTCCTGTAGTGTTTGTGAACTGCTGGGAAGGAGGCAGCTATGCTTCACTTTTATGTATTGTTCATGAAGGCGATCTTTGTAACTTTTTGTAGTTCTTTCTTTTTTTTTTAAAAAAAAAAGGTAATCCAAATTTATACAAATGACATATTCTTTATTATATGTTACGCCTATTTTCATACATTAAATCTGAGTGTTTTGCGAGGTCAAAATGATTGGTTAACTTAAGGCTTCCTTTTAAAAAGCAATATTTAGTCTGATGTAAGTTTTTCAGATCTGAGCTTGCCTGTATTAGTCTGTTCAGGCTTTGTAACAGAATAACCCAGATAGGAGCTCATTTCCTGACAGTTCTGGTCTTTGAAGACCAAGGCCTGACAGGTAAACTCTGGTCATGGTCCCTTCTGAGCTACAGGTGGCCCTTCCTCTGCTGCATTGGAGAGACACAGGCTCTGTCTCCCTTCCTCTTCATACAAGGACACTGCACCTTTGGGCAGGCCCTCACTCTGCAGGTGCATGTAATGTAGCCACCTCTAGAAACCCTGCCTCTAGACAGTCACCCTGAATTGGGATTAGCAGGAGGATTCTGGGCACAGTTCAGCCTGCAGCACTGGGGACTCTCCTGTCTCCTCAGAGTGCACACATTTCCTCTGGGTTTTTTGTTTTCTTTTTCCTTTGAGATAGGGTCTTTTTATGTAGCCTGCATGGTATGGAACTCTTTATATAGACCAGGCCATCCTAGAACAGTGGTGATCTTCCTGCCTCTGCCTCCCAAGTGCTTGGTATTACCAGACTGTGCTACCAGGCTCATCTTACATTTCTTCTGCCTACGAGAAATTACTAAGGACAAAAAGATAGCTATTTGAGTCCATCTATGCAAAATTGTCCCCTTGTGCAGGGAGGAGCTGTTGTGAAATGTTTGCGTTCTTTTCCATGGGGGCACAGAGTGCAAAACTTACCTTGTGTGTGTCAGCTTCATCAGCATCCTCTTGTGCTGGCAGAAGTACCCAGGGCCTGTAGCATACAGTACCAGCATCTTGAGTTTGCCCAATCTGCAGTCTGGTCAGGACTTGGTGGCATTTGATTTCTGCTCCATGTGATGTCAGGTGTACTGTCCTGGGTGTGTGGAGTAGAAAGTGGCTCACTTCCATGGCAGTTGTGGGCTTGAGCATACTGGAGCTCAGTGGGGTATGGGCAGACAGCTCAGGTCCTCCATGTGGTCCACTCCAGCAGTGGGAAGTTAAGTTCCAAGATAGTACCAGAGAGGGGCCAAGAGAAATGGTCCTTTGTATGGCCCTGTGTTATGAGTTGTACCAGTTACCAGCTAAGAACATCAGCTATGCCCATACAGTGGCTACAGAGCAGTACATGCCTGTGGGCTGCATTTCCCAGGCTCTTCTTTTATATATATATTTTTTATTTTATGTGTATGGGTGTATTGCCTACACGTATGTGAGTGCACCCATGTTGTGCAATGCCACGGAGGTCAGAAGTGGGCTTCAGATTCCCCTGGAACTGGAGTTAAGGACAGTTTGTAGCTGCCATGTGGGTGCTAGGAATTGAACTTGAGTCCTCTGCAAGAGCAGTCAGTTCTCTTAACTGCTGAGCCATCTCTCCAGCCCCTCCCAGGCTCTTCTTGACCCTGAGATCTGCTCTCCCAACCAGCAGCCTAGTCTGCAGAGAAGCCTGTAGCAGAGCTGGCAAGCCCATCCAGGACTCAGCTTGCATTCCTGTCTCCTTTGCTGCACATATCTACAGCACTGTCCTGCAAAACTGTGGAAAGCTGACCTTCCCACTGCTCAGCAGGGCACTTAAACATCCTCAACTTCTGATAAAGTGGTAATCCTCGCAGTAATTTGAATATTGGAGTTCCTATAAGTAGCCTAGATTTCATTCCTCTGGGTTAAGTAGCAACAAAAACTAAAGTTTGTAGGCATTTTCTGGTAATTTAATAAATAGTGACATGCAATGTCAAGGACTGATAGTTTAATACAGATTACATGGTTGTACTTGGCATTTAAAGAAACAACCTCTGGGGTATTAGCACAAAAATAGACCCATAGATCAATGGAACAAAATTAAAGACCCAAATATAAGTACATGCAGTTTCAGTCACCTGACATTTGGCAGAGGGGCCAAGAACATTAACCGGAGGAAAGACAGCATCTTCAGCAGATGGTGCTGACAAAACTGGGTCTCCACCTGTAAAAGAATGAAACTAAACCCCATCTTTCACCTTGCACAAAAGTCAACTCCAAATGGATCAATGACCTCAATGTGAAGCCTGAAACTCTGGAACTGTTAGAAGAAAACATTGACAATAACCTACAATATAAAGGATTTTCTAAACCAGACATCAATTGCTCAGGAAATAAGGTCAAGAATCAACAAATGGGGCCTCATTAAACTAAAAAGCTTCTATACATCAAAAGAAACAACCATGGAAGTGAAGAGAAAACCCACAGAGTGGGAGAAAATCATCAGTGACACATCGGACAGAGGTTTAACATCCAGAATATATAAAGAACTCAAGAGAGAAAGCAAGTAACCCAACTAAAAGATAGGCTAAGGAGCATCTTTAAAGGTGTTCAACATCAGTAATTAGGGAAATGCAAATTAAAACCACTAAGATTCCATTTTGCCCCAATCAGACTGGCTAAGATCAAGAGAACAAATGATACCAAACATCGGAGAGGATGTGGAGAAAGAGGAACACTCATCCACTGCTGGTGGGATTGCAAACTTGTGCAACCCCTATGGAAAAAACTAAAAATGTTTGGGCTGGAGAGATGGCTCAGTGGTTAAGAACACTGGCTATTTTTGCAGAACACCCAGGTTCGAATCCCAGCAACCACATGGCAGCTAGCAACTGTCCGTAACTCCAGTTCCAGGGGATCTGATAGCTCCTGTCCTCCGGAGGCATTGCACGACACTGGTGCACTTAACCTACATGCAGGCAATACACCTATACACATAAAAATAATGAAAATTAAAAAACAAAAGCAACAAATGAACCTACCGTTTGACCCAATTATACCACTCCTTGGCATGTACCCAAAGAACCCATTCTATTGCAGAGACACTTGTACATCCATGTTTGTTGCTGCTCTTTTCACAATAGCTAAGAGATGAAAGCAACCTAAGTGTCCCTCAACTGACTAGTGGATAATCAAAGTGTGGTACGTTTACACAATAGAGTTCTACTCAGCAGTAAAGAAAGTTGAAATCATGAAGTTTGCAGGTAAATGGATGGAACTAGAAACTGTTACACTAAGTGAAGTAACAGGAAAAACAAAAACAAAAAATGATGTATATTCTCCCTCATATATGGATCCTAGCACCAAATCCTTATAAACAAATATCCCAGTCACCATCAAAGATCATTTTGCCCCAGAGACTAATACCAAGTACCACAACTGGTCACACACAGACATTGTCTATGAATTGCCCACGCCTAAGGGACACATCTGCAATGCAACCTCTACACCTAAGGCTCCTGGAACGTAGAACAGGGGTAAAGAAGAGGACACTAATGAATCAGTTCTCAATAACAAAGCTCCCTCATGCAGCCGAGGGACAGGAACACATAAGGTCACAAATGGCCAAAGCATAGGAATCAAGAGTCTGCTGAGTGCTGGTCCTTGGCCAGGACCCTTTATTAAACTTCATTTACCCAAGGCTCAGGGACCATCACAGAAGACGGAGGTGGAAAGATTGTTAAGAGCCAGGGAAGATGTGCACGACCATATGGAAACAGTCTTACAAGCTCCTGGGAACCTGCTCATAGGATTCTGTGGCAATGATGTCAACATACACAAGTCCCATGCAAACTCTGGCAGACAGTAACCCAGCATAAAACTGGGAAAATGAACAGAAGACCCCAATCTTATCTAAAGGAATGTTGGCAACTGATTGCTGTTAGATGAAGAAGAGCTGATCTTCCTAAGACAAGGAACTCTAGATAGGCTGACTAGACTCAGTGGATGGACTTGCACTGGAGAACGGCTGAGGGCACTGACAACACAGTGGATAGTAACGGATGACAGAGTATATGGGCTCCAGTGGTGTGGGGCAGGGGGGCTATGGGAGAGTGCCAGTGGGGATGGGGGTATAAAATGATTGAGTGTTTGAGATGTTCTGTATGAAATACACAAAAATTTAAAAGAAACAACCTCTGTGTGTGTGGGTCTGGCATCCAGGCTACATGCAGAATGACCTGGCCTAGTTCCTGGACACACTGGGGCATATGTCATTGTGGCTAGTTTGTATCAACATCAAATACTTAGACTTAATGCCTGAGTCATGGTTAACTGGTTTAGTTCTTTGTGTCTTTTTTTTTAAAAAAAGTATTTTATTGAGAATTTCAAACATGCATATAAGATGTTTTGATTAAATCCATGCCCACTCCCTCCCCTCCAACTCCTCCCATATCTCCCCATCACTTTTTTCTGATAACTTCATGTCCCCCCTTTTAACTTTTACAAAACCTTTATTGAGAATTTCATACATGCATATAAGGTGCTTTGATCAAATCCATGCCCACTCCCTCCCCTCCAACATTCCCCCCTCTCAAGAGGTAACCCTAAAATCTTTTAAGGATTAGATACAAGCTTCCTAATACTTTTGACATTTTTGGCCTTTTGGAACAGAGTTGTTGCTAAGAGGCCCAAGGACATTTTGACTTTCAGCCAAGAAACTGGCTACTTTTCTTTGGGGTCCTTTTACCCTAACTGCCTAAACAATTCCTACTTATCACACCATCCTCTGAAGGGGTCACCCAAATTGCCAATAGGGAATAGGGAGGCAGACTGATCTGGCTTCTTCCATGCTGAACAAGGATGCAGGGTGAGGCAATTGTATCCATTTAGTGGATCTATCTAAAAGACTCCCAAATTACATATCCATTATCTCTAAGGGGGAAAAAAGTCCTTGAATCATGAATAGGAGATGTAAAGGAAAAGTAAAGGCAAGAGTAATTAGCATTATAAGTTCCAGACAGGGAACTAGCAAAAAGTCAGAACAAGGCAAATTTCAAATGCTCATATGAGAGTCCATTGGAATTTCTTGACAAGAGCTTCCAAAGCATTACAGTATTGGAGACCAAGATTTGAAGT